CAAAAACCAACCAACCAAACAAACAAACAAGAAACCCAAAAGAACAAAACCAAAAAACAAACAACAACAAAAACCCAGAAAACCTCCAGGAAGGAAGGGACTTAGTTTCTTTTGTTAATTGCTCTTCCCTGAGGTCAAGAACAGTGCTAGGCACTCAGTAAATATTTATTGAATGGTTGAATACAGGATCTTTGGGTAATTGATTCACTGGCCAACCCAGGAGGGAATTAGGCTGAAGATTGTGTGATACAACCAGCTAAGGCTAGTAAGAAACATCCCATTTCTTTTCATCCCTGTCATTGCACAGTCTAGTTTGAGAGGACGAAAAATGGGTGCTTCCTTGTCTGTGTAAAGGTATGTGAGCAGACATAATTTTTTCTCTAGGGATAGTCACACTGTTTATGTAGATGTGATGTCAACAACTCTTGGGGTTGCCAGGTGTTAACCAAATTAGCAATGAACATTCTTTCCTGGGGAGGCAGTTGCCACTCTGGGCTGGGGTTGGAACCAGGGCTGAGCGTGAAGACTAGAGCTTGGAAGACCAGAGGCTCTACAGCTAGGAAAACCAACACAGATCCAAGTCCAGAAGAAGTCCAAAGTCAGGTAGGCTGCTGGAGGAGAAATCAGGACAAAACTCCAGGGATTCGAGGGTCTATGGCAGTATATTGGGTTCCAGCAGTGGAAGATAAAAGGATGGGCAGAGCTCTCCAGGCTAAGGGTGAAGGCTCTTGCCTTCCAGGGACCAGCAATCAGGAAAGGTCTGTGACAGTTCCAACCTAAACTGTCATCATTTTTCTCATCTTCAAGAGCTACTTTTCAGCAAGTGACACTTGCAGACTTGCAGAGAGTGAAAGCATCTCTTGGCAGAGTCTGAGGGCCAGAGAAGGTTACATTCTTGGTCACAGTGGAAAGAGAAAATGGGAAGGTTTGAAACCCAGAACAGCATAAACTGAGTGCAGTGGCATGTACCTGCAGGCCCAGCTACTTGAGAAGCTGAGGCAGGAGGATCACTTGAGGTTAGGAGTTTGAGTCCAGCCTGGGCAACAGTGAGATGCTATCTCTTCAAAATAAAAACAACAATAACAACAAAATCAATCAAATAAACCACACAGTAAATTCATTGCCTCCCAATTCTTGCCTTTCTGTTAGTTTATAGACAACTGGAATTTGAAATTAAAGGGACAAATTTTGATGGAAGAGCTGAGGTCAGAGAATCTGAGCTGTTTTGGGTGCTTATGGATACTGTTTGTTCAAGAAGGTACTGAGGATGGAACAAGGAAAACCAATAGAACTTTCCTTTAGGGCGTATAGGAAATACCCCAGGCTGGCCCTTCCCTTCGTGGCTGTCTAAACCTGAGTCAAGGCTCAGGAACCAACCCAAGTAGGCATTTTTTTTTTTTCAAATTCTTCTCCCCCTCATTTTCCTCTTCCTCCTCCTCTTTTTCCTCTTTTTGAGGTGGGAGCAGGGGTGGGGGGTGGGGTCTCACTATGTTACCTAAGCTTGTCTGTCATTCCTAAGTTTCAACAATATGGCTACCTCAGCCTCCCGAGTTGCTGGCACCACAGGCAGGTACCACCATACCAGGTTTAGAAGTGGGCATTTTAGAATTAAAACATGAACTGATTTCTTCTTGGAAGAAGAAATATATCGTTTAGTCAAATGCTCTGGCATTCTGTAGAGTCTACTATCCAAGTGGTCATTCATTCAACCCTATTTATTGAGTGCCTCTTCCCTGCCAGGCACTATGATGAAAGAGTATGATGTATTTCTCTAGTTAAGGCATCTACATATATATTTAATTTCCTATTTTTTTGGGGGGGTCTTTTTGAGACAGGGTCTCCCTGTAGCCCCAGCTGTCCTGGAACTCACTATGTAGACCAGGCTGGCCTTGAACTCACAGAGATCCATCTGCCTCTGCCTCCCGAGTGCTGGGACTAAAGGCGTGTGTCACCATGCCCGGCTTCCTCTTTAATTTTACATACTATTATATCACTTTTCTGAAAATGCCTTGACAACTTAATGGAAGAAAAAAAAAATCTTAGGAACGGTAAACCCTATTTTCACTCAGAAAGCCATTTCTTTTTTTCTTTTTAGACAAGGTTTACTATGTATCCCAGGCTGGCCTTGAACTCACAGCAATCCTCCTGCCTCAGCCTCTTGAGTGTTAGAGTTTCAGGCATAATCACCATGCTTGGCTCAGGATCATTTTCTGCCCCTTTGTCCACTGACTCAGGTTATTTTCCTTTCTATTTCTCAGCATGAGAGAATAAATCTGTATTTTTGCTTTTTGTTTGTCGTCTCCATTACAATATAATCTCTACTTCATGCATACTAGGCAAGTACTCTACCAACTAAACTTCATCTGTAGCCTCCAAGGATTTATTTATTTATTTTTTTGGTCTTTTTGAGACAGGGTCTCCCTGTAGCCCCAGCTGTCTGGAACTCACTGTGTAGACCAGGCTGGCCTTGAACTCACAGATATCCGCCTGCCTCTGCCTCCTGAGTGCTGGGATTAAAGGTGTGCACCACCATGCCTGGCCTTAGATTTATTTTTTTAACAGTAATAAACTAATACTTCTATTGTCTTAAATGACAAAAGTAGGAGACATAGTGTTGGAGAGTGTAGGTACTGTAGATTGGCTTTAAAACTTGAGCCAGAGACAAGGCATAACTTATGACCTAAGTCCTAGTTCCTTTGCAACCTGGCATCATTTACACAGAGCCTTTTATACCAGTGAAAACATCTTCGATTTATGGTGTTATTTTTCAGGATTTTGAATATTTTCCAGAAAGTTCTTTGTCTTACATGGCGTTAAAGCTACCTAACCATCAATTCACTCTTTTCCTTTCACTGAGGCATATTAAATGAGTCTTTGCTAAGTGCCTGTTGTTGTGGGGCTATTACAACAATTAACATGTTCTTGCACTGATAGAGCTTTGGTTTTTCTGGGGAAAATTGAATACCTCCATGACCAAAAGGCAGTGGTTTTAAAAAATACACACACTCAAGCCAGGCATGGCAGCACACAACTTTAATCCCATCACTGGGGAGGCAGAGGCAGGTGGACCTCTGTGAGTTCAAGGCCAGCCTGGTCTACATAGTGAGTTCCAGGTACAGCTCGGGCTACAGGGAGACCTTGTCTCAGAAGACCAACACACACACACACACACACACACACACACACACACACGAGTATGTGTGGAGATCAGAGGATAACCTGGGGAGTTCTTTACTTCTACCATGTGGGTCCTAGGGAATCAAACTCAGGTGATCATACATAGTGGCTAGTGCCTTTACCCACTGAACCATCTTGCTGGCTCCCAAAAAAGTAGTGCTTGTAAGTTTTCTTTCAACTATGTGGGGCTCTATGTATTAAGGGAGGCTTCCTGGAGGAGGTAGCTTGTGAGTAAATCTAAAGAAGGCAGAGGGAAAAATGGTTGGACCAGCCTAGGAAGTAGCCATAGTGCACAGGGCAATGGGAGTCAGTAACAGTCCCTGAGAGGAAGGGAAGTGTCTTTTGGGGTGACACAGTGGTCAGTCCAGTTAGACTCAGACAGGCTTGTGAACTGTGTACGATGCAGACTGTAGGAGTGAGTTGGAACTGCTTTGTGGGCTCTGACTACCAGACTACATAGTTTGTACTTCATGGCAAAAGTAACAAGGCAACAAAACAATTCTTGAATCAGGGATGCTCTATTTACAGTGGAATTGTAGAAATATTATTTTGATGGCTATGTATGTAGAGACTGCTGGAGTGGGATAAGAAGACATTCAGGGGAGAGAAGTTTGGGGTGGACAGATAAACAGGAGACTTTGGACTGGGGGAAACACAGGAGGAAAAAAGTGGGAAACTTAGTTGAGAGAGTTTATAAAGAGTAAATTGTTGGAGCTTAGTTATTACAGGAGTGAATTGCAAGTCAGTGAGGGGGATCATTAAGAGAGATTTGATGAGGTCTTTGTGGTTCAGTGACTAGGAAAACAATGGCACAGTTGACAGAAAGATGAATATTGTTCTGGAGATTTCAGTTGAAGCAAAAGGAGGATCTTTGTTTGGGCATGTGGGATACCACGTGGACATATGTGACAGATCATTAGCAACCAGTAAGCCATTTGTTATCCCTTACTCAGCCTCATCTATGCACTAAAGAATTAGCAGAAAAAAAAACACTGGTCGGGGCTGGAGCGATAGCTCAACAGTTAAGAGCACTGACTGTTTTGCAGAGGACCCAGGTTCAATTTCCAGCACCCACATGGCAGCTAATAACCATCCATAACTCCACATCCAAGGGATCCAACACCTTCTTCTGACCTCTGCAGGCATTGGATGACACAGGTGCACTGACCTACATGCAGGCAATACACTCATACACATAAAATAAAATTAAAAAAATAATAAAATATTAGAAAACATATTGGAGATAGGAATACAGAGAGATTAGGCTAAATCAGGTCTTTGATTTTTTTGGGGGGTGGAATATGGTATTCTTATGTAACTGTCCAGACTGGCCTGGAACTTGTGACCCCCTACTTTTGCCTCCAAGTGCCAGGGTGCATGCACTAGCACAGGCAAGACTTTGATTTTGAGGCATCTTGCTCAACTGATTCATTAGCGTTAAATAGGCCCCATTTCCTCAGAATCTCTGTAGCAGTCTTGTGTGCACTGTATTACCTTTTGTGAATATATTATTTGGCATCTTCACTAGCTAGAGTTTGGACTTGGGCTCAAACCTCCCCTATGGGTTCCTTGTACGGGAACCTATGCAAGTTGCTTCTAAATGCTTTATGAAGATAGAAGGGTGGTTCAGCCCTCACCTTTTCTACCCTCACATGGCTGATTTTGTAACTTATGCTTCTTTTGAGACTGCCTCTCATTTTCCTTGGCACTTTATTTTTCCTGGATTTGGTAAACTAAAGCGGGAAGTGGGACAAAATTTGCTGGCTTTTACAGTATGTAGCCCGGGGCCCAGCTCCTAGCAAGAAAGTTCAACCAACAAGGAGGAAGATCAGAGCAAGGTCTTTGAGATCTCTGGGGGCTCTGCCAAGCAATGCCTATTCATTAAGATGGGGACGACAGACACCAATACTGAAAAACACCAGTCCTAGGGTCAGACCATATGGGAGGGTCAACAGCCTGGGAGATGATGTCATTATTTTCCGAAGGGCTTGGCTTGCTATTAGGTGACTCAGTATGTTTCTTAGCACCTCAGCCAACATGTAGGACAGAAGCTGCAGCCTTTATCTTTTCCTCTTGGGGTGGGACTGTTAGGTCTACAGGAAAGCCTTTATTAATCACCTCCTTGCCAGAGATCTCATTAGGAGAAGCACAACTCCAACCAGGAATCAGGGCTCCAGAGTCTGAGTTTCCAAGATATTCCAGGACACTGGCCTTGAGACAAGACCTGTTTGGGTCTTAGGTTACAATATATAAAATGGAGGTAATGATTCCAGCCTCACAGGTTGAGGATGAAAGGGGTAGTGCAGGTAAAGCATTAAGCACAGTAGTCTAGCCCAGTAAATGGTGTTATTCATTTTCTTCTTGTGTCAGTGTGGTGGGGGATGATAGTATGACTTCTGGAGTTAGGCAACTGACTTTGAGTTCTCTGTCTAGTTGGGTGACCTTGGGTGACTTCATCTTGCTGTTTCTTGTAAAATAGGAAGGACAGTACCATCTCATGGGGTCACTGTGATGAAGTAATGCAGACCAATGACTGGCACAATTGCCTGTAAAACAAATTGCACAGCGACAGTGAATTTATGACCATATTTTCAACCCTATATCCCTTTAGAGTCTAGTTCAAGGTGCTTTAAACCCCATTAATCCTGATTTCTCTGATCTTCATTGATTTGAGTTCTTATAATCCATTTTCTATGCACCTCCCTCAAAATTATAACTGGGCTTCTTAGGCTCACCTTGCGGCACGTATTACACGTTACTGTTGTGTCTCCAAACCTCACAGCCCAAAGCATTGAAATTGGAATTGCATTTGCATGATACAGCAAAAGTTCCTAAAATTGTTCTAAAAACAGCTTTGTTTCTACTCGTTGAGCAGTGGCCCATTTTTCTCGTCCACTCTCGGAGCTAGTACCCCTTTATCTTTGCTTCCCTTCCCCAGTACCCTAGGGAACCACCCTCCCCAATGCAAAGGTTCAGGAACCCGCAGAGACCTAAAACCCACCTCTCGAGAGGGCGGGAGGCGGCTGCGCAGGAACACGCTGAAGGGCTCGGGCCAGCCCCATACAACGCCAGCTTTATGGCCCCGCCCCTCACGCCCGCGCGCTCGTGCGCATGCTCGCGACACCGCCCAGGTGCGTCACAGAATGGCCTCCGACACCCAGGCAGCCCCTGACGTGTCGGGGAGGAGCCGTGCGCGGAGCTGCGGGCAGTGGAGCTCAGGGCTGCGGAGGGGAGCAGAGTGGAGTGGCTGGGCGGACCTGGTCAGGCCAGCGGAACGGACACGGCGGCCGACCGGCGGCGAACATGCGCTTTTGACACGTTGGAGGTGAGCGCTCTGCTCCGGGGTGGAGCGGGCGGGCGGCGCCGAGGCCTGGTGTAGGGAACCCTCTGGGCCTTGGGGCTGTGTCCGCGCCGCGCCGGGCCAAGCCGGGGCTTGGGTTCTGGGAGGGCAGTCCACGGGCAACTGTTCAACCGCTCTAACTTCTCTCCTCACCATGGTACGAGGTGTGGCCCACCAGAGTACCTGCAGCGGAGCGAGCCCGAGGGCTTCCGGGGAAGGTGCGGCGGTGCGGGCTGGGGACGGAGGCCGGGACGTGGCGCCGTGGGCCCGGGCGCTGGTAGCGCAAGGAGTGGCCCAGCTGGAGCGCGCCCAGCCTTCGCGCTCCACCCACCCCCAGGTTGCCCTTAGCTGCCAGGGGTGTTAGGAGCGGGACTGGACGCTGATGTCTGCGAGAGCGGGAGCAGCTCACGGTGACAGCGGTTGGCAGTCCCGTGACTCTCCACTCCGAACTGCTAATCCCCCTCCCCCCCTCAGTTCAGGAAAGTGTCACCAACGGGTTCGGATTACTTGTGCTTCTAATTTTTCACTGGGAAACGATGAGGTAACCCTTTAAGTTTTACTAGGAAAGTGCAGGTTCTTTTCACCGACTATTATGTTCCATTCCTGTAGGGTCTGTACGCATTTCAGGACGTTTGCCATCTGTAGTTGTGACGGATTCTGTTGTCACTTTTTGCTGGGTGGGGAAATTGAGCCCAGGTGCGGGAGTACTTGATTTATACGTGGGTTCAACCAACTGGTGAGACGCTTCGCTTGAATCATAATTTACCTGTTTAGGCTCAGAGTTCAATTTTTTTTTTCCGTGAGATTTTTATACCTTCAGCTAGAAAATGCAAGGCAGAAAATGGGACTTGTCAAAGATAATAGCAGAAGCTAGTAGATGACTTACTTAGTTATTTTTGAACAAATTGACCCAAGAAATATTTCAGTTACTAGGAAAATCTGAAGCTGGTTTATGGATGGCTGGTCTGATAAATTATTTTGTCTGATAAATTATGTTGCTTTCCGTGCTCTTAAGAGATAGGGTAATGCCTACCAAATCATGCAGTTGATAAGGCAACATTCAGCCTTAAGCCAGAGTCCAAAGAAGCTGAAGCACACTGAGGGAGCTGGATCTCTTCTGAATTACACTAAACTTATCATCTAGAATCAGAATACATAAGGAACAAAGAAAGCCCTAGTTAGAATTGACCTCATCTCTGTAGAAGTTGCTAAATCTAATGAAGTAGCTCTGTTTTGACTTTAAATAAGTGTAAGTGGATGCAGAATATTTGAAATAAAAATAAACCTGCATAAAAACTGCATAGATCTTGCTTTCATGCGACCTACAGAACTTTTCATTTTTATTTTAAGCCATCCTCAGAAAAATTTGAGGACTAAAGTTAAAATTACTTGTGATGTAAGTTTTCTAGGCACTCCATGATGTAGAAAAAAGATTTGATAGACCTGGAAGGGAGTCCTTATTTATGATTGACTTTGGAAAGTTAATTTTGTAAATGTTACTTTTGAGAGAAGTGTAAGTATTTCAGTAAAAAAGCATAAATTACCTATTGGGTGTTGTTACAAAGGAACTATTTGAACTTCATTACCTCATGCTTTTTTTTTTGTTGTTTTGTTTTGGTCTTTTTGAGACAGGGTCTCCCTGTAGCCCCAGCTGTCCTGGAACTCACCATGTAGACCAGGCTGGCCTTGAACTCACAGACATTCACCTGCCTCTGCTTCCAGAGTGCTGGGATTAAAGGCTTGTGCCACCACGCCCAGCTTCATTACCTCCTTCTATGCTGCTAATATGTTTATCGTTGGTAATAATCTATCATGTAAGGTCGATTTTCTTACCGCTGTACCTTTGTATCTTTGCAAATAAGGCATGTTGGACAGGCTGTTTTAAACCCGTGAGTTAATTGTTAGTTGTTACATATCTGAAGGTTATATAAAGTGTGATATTGTCTGATGTAAAAGTTATAATTTTGAGACTCATGCCCTATCCGTAGGAGACATAATATTAAGGGAAGATTGGGAGCAGACAATACTTGTCTGCCTGCATTCCAACTTTAGAAGACTGTAGATGTGCCACTTGAGCACTTTTTAAAAAGCAGTGTATTTTTTTGATATTGGCTGACTTTCTGTAGCTTTACTTTCTCCATTTACATAGTTTCAAATGACAGTGAACACATACTCTCAGTGTAACTTGAGGCAAACTGAGCACACTGTCTTTGCAGCCCCTGGGACAGTCTTGGGATTATCTGTAGGGATAGCACATTTTTGCTTGTAAAGAACTTGATTTAAAAAAAATAAATCTGATGGATAAGTTCAGTGGGATAAAGCTGGGTAATACCAATCAGGCAGCAATGAGTACAAAGTGTAAATACAGAGTAAGAACTCTTTGCTCAGTTTTTAATCTGGTTAGTAAAGGTTATTCCAAAAGAGAAGTTTTAGAAATCTTTCTGATAATGAAATGATTTTAAGAATCATTTGTAGTTTTTAAATCCTGAAGTCTGTTTACTTTGTGGAAAAATTTTAAAGGTTTACTCATAGACTACAGTTTCTTATAATTGAATGGACATTGATGCTATTTACTGTGTGTCAGGCTCTGTTCCAAGTACTTTACAAATACTAACTCAATCTTCAAAGCACAGCCTCAGTTTAGTGATTATTACTGTTTTATAGGTGAGGAAACAAGGTACTGAGTAGCTGAATAACTTGTTCAAGGTCGCCCAGGTAGTGAGTAGAAGAGCCTGATTTCAAACCCAGGCAGTTTGGCTTCAGGGTCTGGTCTCTTAACCACTTTGCTATGCTGTTCCTCTGACTCATTCTTGATTAAATGTTTTTATCTTGTTTGTTCTGGAAAAAGTCCTTTTTTGAGACAGGGTCTTTCTATGTAGCACTGGCTGGTTGGAATTGGCTAAGTAGGCCAGGCTTACCTGGAACCCACTTCTGCCTATCCTCCAACCTTTCCCTATCCTCCCACCTCTGAGTCTTCAGTGCTGGGATTAAAGACGTGCACCACCATGCCAGGTCTGATGATTATTTTATTTTTGATTCTTTCTTGGAGGGGGTGTTCTTTTTGACATAGGGTCTCCCTGTAGCCTCACTTGGCCTGGAACTTTCTCTGTAGACCAGGCTGTTATTTTTAATTTTTTAAATATTTGTTGTGTATAAGTGTTTTGCCAGCATGTAAGTGTACCCATGGTATGCACTGCCCATGGAGGCCAGAGAGGGCGTCAGACTCCTGGAACTGGAGTTTCGGAAGGTTGTCAGCTGCCATGTGGGTGCTGGGAACCGAGCTTGGGTCCTCTCCAAGAACAGCCAGTGCTCTTAACCACTGAGCCATCTCTCTGGCCCTGATGATGATAATTAAATTTTTAAAATAATTTGTTATTTTTATTTTATGTGTATGAATGTATTGCCTGCATGTAGGTGGGTGCACTCATGTGCAGTGCCCGTGGAGGTCAGAAGAGGGCATTGGATCACTAGGAACTGGAGTTATGGATGTTGTTAGCCACCATGTGGGTGCTGGGAACTGAACCTGTGTCCTCTGCAAGAGCAGCTAGTGCTCTTAACTCTTGAGCCATCTCTCCAGTCCCCGTTGATGATAAATTTTAATAAAAGATTTCTGGCATAGGTTATAATACAGTTTGAAGAATCAAGAAACAAGCTGTGAGAGTAGCTTGGTAAGAACAATAATAAACATTGGATTCACGTAAGATTCAACAAGAAAATTAAAAATTAAAATTTTTTCCTGAGTTATTTGATGCTGAAGTAGTTGGACAAAGAGGATACAAGAACTAAAAGTAGATTCTCAAGAAGTTACATGCAAAAGGCTACTTAAATCCTGTGTCAGGGGACATTGGTGAAAAAGTTGGTAATTGTATTACTATGTCTCTTTGGGCTGTGGAGTTTACAAGGCTGTGAGTTCAGTCTTCAGAATCCATGTTAAAAAAAAGCCAGGCTTGGGTCGGGCACGCCTTTAATCCCAGCACTTGGGAGGCAGAGGCAGGCGGATCTTTGTGAGTTCGAGGTCAGCCTGGTCTACATAGTGAGTTCCAGGATAGCTGGGGCTACAAGGCAACCCTGTCTCAAAAAAGACGAGAGAAAAAAAAAAAAAAAAGCCAGGCCATGGTTACATACTTAGAACCTCAGCATTGGGTGTGTACATGTGTATGAGTGAGAGGGTACAGATACAGGAGAGTCCCTGGGGCTTGCTGGTCTGTCAGTGAACCCTAATGGGTGAGTTTCAAGCCAGTGAGAGACCCTATATCAAAAACAAAAAAAAGGTAGGTGGAATTCTTGAGGAATGATACTTTATATTGCCCTCTGGCTTCCACATGCATTCGAATATACATGAACACACTCATACATGTACACGCATGTGTACAGAGACATACACAAAAGTTTTTAAAAAGAATATTTTCCTTTAGATAATAATTCTGTATTGTACATTTTAGAGAGCTAAAAAGATTTTGAGTTTTCACTAAAAAGAATTGATAAAACATTTGAGGAGGTAAATATATTTAACCCCATTTAAACAATATACAGTGTACACATATTTCAAACATTACATGGTACCCCATTGATATATACAACTTTTGTGTTTTCTTGTTTCAGTTAAAAAAAACAAAACAGGAAAAGAATCTATCCCTATTTAAGAACCAAAAGCAGAGACAAATGATACTTCATAGCATACCCAGAGGTGTAAACAGTGCTGCTCCCCAGGGACCACTATGTAGCTGAGTGCTCTTCAAAGAAGTAACTACCAGTAGGTCCTTTTATATTGTGTACATGAGCCCAAGCAACACAAAACACCCCAACACAGGAAAGTTTCAAAGTGGGCATGTGAATAATATTTATAGATAAAACCAATTCTGATCCTGTTTGTAGAAGCATTGGTTCCACATTCAAACACAGTACATTCAGATAAACATTAGATGCTCAGGAAGACTTGTAACAGCATTAGGAACTTCTGTAAGGACACTGGCCCATGGAACACACAAGCAGTATTATCAAATGCTGCATAGTAACAAAGACATAGAAAACCCCAAAGCAAAGTACCCACTGGTGAATAAACCAAGTAGCAGTTGGTTCTGAGTCATGTGTTAATCTAAAGCAATCTAATAAAGCATGACAGTTAAAATATTTAGAGCCCATGCTGGGCATGGTGGCGCATGCCTTTAATCCCAGTACTTGGGAGGCAGAGGCAGGTGATCTCTGAGTTCAAGGCCAGCCTAGCCTGGTCTACATAGTGAGTTCCAGGTCAGCTGGGGCTACAGGGAGACCCTGTCTCAAAAAGACGAAAAAAAAAAAATTTTTTTTTTAAATTAAAAAGAAGTCAAGCAGTATTCACTTTGGGAAGACCAAGGCTAAGATAGTATCATCAGAGTCTACAAAAATCATACAGGGTGTGAAAATGGGAAATATGGACTCATTTACCAATCCTGGGTACTTTAACAGAACAATGTAGAAAGCTTGCACCAAAGTCAAGGCTGAAAATAGAAAGTTCATTGATGGCTGTAAAGGTATTAGACTAATTCACATTATTTAGAGTAATATAAAATCTGTGAAGTTAGCTGGGTGTGGTAGTGCACGCCTGTAGTCCCAGCACTTGGGAGGCAGAGGCAGGCGGATCTCTGTGAGTTCAAGGCCAGCCTGGTCTACATAGTGAGTTCCAGGTCAGCTAGGGCTACAGGGAGACCCTACTTCAAAAAGACAAAAAAAAATCTGTGAAGTTAAAAAGTTTAGATTTGAAATCAATTAAAAGTTTTGTATAAGGATGAGGATTTTCTTAAATTCCCCCTCCCGTGTGTGTGTGTGTGTGTGTGTGTGTGTGTGTATGTGTGTATGTGTCTGGGGATCAAAACTATGACCTTATGCTTACCAAGCAAGCAGCCTACCACTGAGCTACACTGTACTCCCAGTCACCCCAAGGCTTTCAAGTCCTGTTCTAATTGACAGAACAGACAGGGCCTTCACAGTCTCACATTGAAACAGCCTCCTACTCATGGAACTCCTATGTGATTTCCTCCCTTTTTTTCCAGAGCTGCCTCTGTATTTGAGCTACTGTGTGGGCAGATGATCTGGGCTTTCTTTTATCTTGTAAGTTCTCTTCATTGCAGTCTTGGTTGGAGCCCTTGTATCCTACAGCCTGTATCTTCCAGGTCATGGTCATTTATTTCTGGTGGTGTGGAAGGATTTATAAATAAGACACAGGTCTTGTCCTCGAGGGACTAACTAGATAGCCTTTTATTTCTCTTCATTTGTTTCTTGAAGGCAGTGTCAGTAGCAGTGGACCTTTGCTGCTTGTGTCCCTTCTGGTCTTTACAACTTTCTGAAAACAACTTTCATAATTTATTGGTTTGTATATCAGAAACTGAACATTTGAGCTGCACATTGACACACAGTTGCCAGTGTTCAAATGATCTATCTGAATTTGGGGATCAGTGTCTGTGAGTTTGTAAGCTATCTTCTTTAGGGCTGTATGTATGTATAGTACTTGGGATGGAACCCAAGACTGTGTATGTTAGTCAAGTGCTCTCTACCACTGAGCTAGGGTTGAATTTGTAGAGTTAAGTGTCATAATCACAATTTTGGGGAGATTGAGAGAAGATCTTATGTATAATATTAAGAGGACACAGATCTTGTTTCAACTGTAGATGCTTTTAGACATACATCCTGTAATTCTGACTTCATCTGGATTGTTAAATTATTTCTTTCCATCAGAGACAGTCTCTTTCAAGCATGGGACTCTGGGTAGGTTAACCAGGCTCCAGAGGATGGACCCACACCAAAGGACATTTGGAGACACAAATTCGACTGTATAGGCTTTATTATATATGTCACATATGATATATGTAACATTACATTGGGCAGGGGGCCATAAAGGGAGGGGTGCAGATAGAGGAGGGGATCTAAATACCATCAGATTATATGAAAATCACAAAAACTAAATAAAAAATATTTCCCTCCCCTACCTGGGAGACTAAGGTAGTAGCTCCGAAGAGTTACTGATAACACAGAATGATGCCTTTAAGTACTATGGTTCTTTTGAAATACGAGTATCTCTGGCTGCTGTGGAGAACCCTCCTTGTTCATAGCATACTATAAATGAAGCCAGTAACATTAGATCACTTGATATCTGGGAAAGTGAAGTGGGAATTCAAACTTTGATGAGGGGACAATTATAAAATCAGTATTTATTAATCAGTGTACATGTTGAAGAAACATGTCGCCCAATATAGTCCACATCCTCATTGGATGGAAAAAAAGCTGAAGCTCCAGAAGCTCCAAGGGGCTAAGCAATTTAAGTAATTTAATAGCAAAATTGGAACCCTAGAACCCTGCCTCAATAGAATTCCCAGCCTGTGTGGTTAACATTTTAAGGTACTCTTATGCTGTAAAAACATCTCCAAGAATAGAATGATACAGACAAATCTGTGCTAGTCTAGGGTAATCAGATTAGAGGGTGGTGCATTTGGTCAACAAATACATGCCTAGTGCTTATCAGTATTCAGTAAATGATTGTAAGCAGTAGGTGACTTCTCCGAGTAAGGTTATGTCAGGAGTCTCTTTCAAAGAGCTTTCAGGGTGATTGGCAGTGTAAGATAACTGGAAGATGCCAAGGTAATAATAGATGGCACCGGGAAAGATGTGGTTAAGGAAAAATTGGTAACAGGTTTCAAAGGAATTAAACCAAGCATATCAAGTTACTTTTTAGTTTTATTGCATTAAGTGCCATTCTCCTACCTCTTTGTTATACCCACCCTAAAACTGGAGGTCTGGATCTGTTCTCTGACTGAGCTCTTGCCAAACTTTCATGAGTGAATTGTGTAAGATGAATTCCAAGTTGTATACATCTCTAAGGCTTTATACTTAAGAAATGGGTCTTTAGTCCTTACTATCTAGTATGGATTATAGTTTAATTCAGTAAATATTGTGTGTTTTCTATTGTGTGAACATGGTGCTGGCCTGGTTGTAGGAAAGGCTAGCCATGAATCTATAGTGGGCCAAACATCTTGGTTATTTTATCTCTCTTTATGATCAATTGGGAGTTTTAGTTAGCCAGTTGAAATGGCAAGAGCCACTAAATCCATCCGTCCCTTCTGTGAATGATTTGGGAGAACTAAGATAAAGATCATTGAAGTTGGAGGTGGGTGGATCTTTGGAGTTAACTTGGACTGAAGAATAACCCAGAGGAAGTCTTCAGAAATGTGGTGGTATATAATTTACTTCTGGTAGTCTCACCTGGCATGAAGTGTTCCAGGAGGTAGTAGCTAGCTAGTTAGCTAGGACCCTCCCTCCCTCCTTTTCTCATAGAACCTTGAACTTTGTGTCACTCAGGATGACTTCCTGCTTCCTGCTAGTGCTGAGATAACAGGCATTGTTTATGTGGTGCTAGGGAGCAAACCCAGTCTCATGCATGCTAGGCAAGCACTCTACCAACTGTGTGGTGCTAGGGAGCAAACCCAGTCTCATGCATGCTAGGCAAGCACTCTACCAACTGTGTGGTATTTGAGGCAATTATATACATCAGGAAAGAGCTCAGCATGGCAGAGTCTCTGGCATTTTGTTTGTTTCTGTTGCCTGATTCCAACTGCTGGAACTATGTGTAGGGTAATTCTGTGGGGTCAAGTCATCCAGTCAGTACTGTAGCTGAAAGGGTTTTACCAGCTTTGTTCTGAAGAACTAAATTGGTTTCCTCTCCTAATGACCTCATCCACAGTGTTGGTCATCTTTGAGTGAGGCAGTGATGTGAGGCTAAAATCTACAAAAGTGCTAACCACTCACTTCTAGAATCTTTTATATCTAACTCTCCAAAATGTGGTAGATCATATTATCTTTTTTTTTTTTTCCCCTTTGGTCTTTTTGAGACAGGGTCTCCCTGTAGCCCTAGCTGGCCTGGAACTCACTATGTAGACCAGGCTGGCCTTGAACTCACATCGATCCACCTGCCTCTGCTTCTGCCTCTGCCTCCAGAGTGCTGGGATTAAAGGCCTGTGCCACTACACCCTACTGTATTACACTTTTAGTATGATTCTTACGTTCTCTGTTTGTGTTTTTAATATGTCACAGGCTTTCTTGATCATGGATGGTGAAGATATACCAGACTTTTCAAGTTTAAAGGAAGAAACTGCTTATTGGAAGGAACTTTCCTTGAAGTATAAGCAAAGGTAGTATTTAAAAGCACACTTAAAATAGGGGAGAGAATTTGGAATATACCATGTCTAGCTTACATTTCTTTTTTTTTTTTCCTTTTGGAACATAAGGCTAAATTTAGAGTTTCAGATTTAGGATTGTGATTCCGTAAATAGTCATAGCATGTATTTAAGTAGTATAAAATTATTACCAATCTTTACATTGTCCCTACTGAAAATAGTAAGAAGGCTTAGTGCCACCTATGATTTCTTCTGATGCCTTTGCCGCCTATTAACCTGCTGTGTGTGTACTGATGCTACACCATTTGCTTATTTGGAGATACTTGAAACAGACTTTAATTCTCTTCAGGCATGTGTTTATTAGTGTCTGGAGGCATCAGTTTCAGAACTATGGAGCATTTAATCAAATTCCAATTATTTTACTTAGTTTGGCAAAAAAATAACCGTGTAGCACTAAAATTTGAAATCTTTTATTTAATGGAAAATATTCACGTTCCTACTTTGGTTATCTAAGTTTTCTCAAACCTTATTTTTATTTTGGAGACCAGAAAAAGGTGGCATATTCTCTGGAACTGGAGTTGTGGACAATTGTTAGCTTCCATGTGGGTGCTGGTAACAAACCCAGGTTCTCTGGAAGAGCAGCCTGTGTTCTTAACTATTCAGCCATCTCTCCAGCCCTTGATTTATTTTTTATGATTATAGCTACTGATTTCTGAGTCTTTGGGGGCCTTATAACTAATTTTCATTGAATCTTGAATATATATGGAGCAAGAAATGCAAGGCAGATTTTCTTTACTGTTTTAACATTTCATGAGAACATTGCTTTTCAGGTAAAAATTACTGGATTTCTATGTAATTTTGTGAGATGACCCCTTGATTTCAGTTATTGCTTATCTTTTCCACTTTGCCTCTGATTAGCTTCCAGGAAGCTCGGGATGAGCTAGTTGAATTCCAGGAAGGAAGCAGAGAATTAGAAGCAGAGTTGGAAGCACAGTTAGTACAGGCTGAACAAAGAAATAGAGACCTGCAAGCTGACAACCAAAGACTGAAGTATGAAGTGGAGGCATTAAAGGTAACTGCACTGGGTGCAGGACTGTCTAGGGTATTGGGGTCTATTAAAATGAGAAATGTAGGACTGGCAAAATGACTCGGAGCGGGGAGCTAAAAGGCTCTTTTGTCAAGCCTGACAACCCCAGAATCCCCAGGATTTCTGGGACCCATGTGGTGGAAGAAGTTTGCTATGGCATGCGCACATGGAAACACACACGCTAAATGACTGTAATAAGAATATTTTAAAAAATGAGAAGTGTGGAGCTGGAGAGATAGCTCAGCGGTTAAGAACACTGACTATTCTTGCAGAAGACCCGGGTTCAAATCCCAGCACTCACATGGCAGCTAACAGCTAACTCCAGTTCCAAGGGATCTGACAGCTTCTTCTGTCCTCTGTAGATGTTGCACGACATGGGTGCATTTACCTACATGCAGGCAATACACACATGCATACACATAAAATAAAAATAATAAATAAAATGAAAAAAAGCAAATGTATTTACTAAATGGTGCTTTAGAGAAGCAAGCAACAAAATATTAAAAATATTAAATATTAAAAAGGCTTTTTTTTTTTTGGTCTTTTTGAGACAGGGTCTCCTGGAACTTGCTATGTAGACCAGGCTGGCCTTGAATTCACAGAAATCTACCTGCTTTTACCTCCAAGTGCTGGAATTAAATGTGTGTACCACCATGCCTGGCTCTGGCTCTTTTTTTTTTTTGTTTTCTTCTTTCATGGAACCAAGAGGAAGGCCTTTCAGAGTTTAGGAGTCCTCAGGAATTTTATGGCTGTCAGTTTTCTAGCTATAATGTTCTTAGCTATGTTGTAGTTCTGATACTTTTTAAAAGCTTCCTGATCATTTTTCTGACAGACTATTTGCCTTGTGTGTAGCTTAAAAATTATATAAAGTGAAACTGGGCGTGGTGGCGCACACCTTTAATCCCAGCACTGGGGAGGCAGAGGCAGGAGGATATCTGTGAGTTCAAGGCCAGCCTGGTCTACAAAGTGAGTTCCAGGCTAGCTGGGGCTACAGGGAGACCCTGTCTCAAAAAGACCAAAAAAAAAAAAATTATATGAAGTGCACATTTTTTTGTTGTTGTTAGTGTTTATGACCCCTTTGAATTTACTTGTGGTTAGAAATTTTCCTTTAAAAAGGAATTTTTAGGACCTGGGGATGGGGCTCAGTGGTAGAATGTTTGCTTAGCATGTGCATGGCCCTGGGTTTAGTTCCTAGTAAAGCAAAGATGAAAAGAAAAAGAATTTTCCAGAAGTAAAGGATTAACTTTTAACTTTTACTCTACTCATCACCTGCCTTAGATGCTTGAGAGTATTTCTTTCCTTTTGCTTCAGAATATCTTTCACTTATACTTTGACAGTTTCATAAATGTAAACAATATATCATCATATTCACCCCCCCAACACACCCCAGTATATCCCCAAAAAAAAAAAAAAAAAATTTTTTTTTTTTTTTTTTTTTTTTTTTTTTGTAATACACTGAATCCAGTTGGTGCTACTGTTGGAATGTTGCCTGATCTTGTATGGGTAACCACAGCTGCCATGAGTTTATGAATGCAATGCCCATGTTATGTCCAGAAGACAGCATTTCACAGCATTCTTTCCCATCCCGTGGTTCATTCCTCCTCTCTTCTGTAAAGCTCTCTGAGCCTTGGGGGCTAGGATGATATAATGTCCCGTTTAGGGCTGAACACTCAATAGTCAGCTTCTCTGGTCAAGGTTGAGGACACCACTAATCTCTGGGTATAAGCATAAATATTTAGGCAGTTCAACAACATATTGTTGAGCCAAAAAAAAAAAGTAGTAAGTTCTGCCTTAGGACCCATGACCTCCCTGCCCATGGGCTTTTGACCAGGTTTACAGTACTAGGCATGGATTCCTTCCTGTGGAATAGGCCACAAATGCAATCCAAAAGCACCTGGTTTACCCCCATAATTTTCATGCCATATTGCACCAGCTCAGGTCAGTATTGTAGCATGTACCCAGTTCTCCACTGGGTAATACCATGGATGGCTTTTCTTCCCCAGCAGCCTGCATGGTACCTTCTGGCACTTTGAAAGCTAGCCAGTACAGAAGAAGTTTTCAGGTCAGTTCCAGATTGACTTCTCTGTGCCCTGCAACCAAACTATAAGGTGTCTTTAGCAATAGGGTCTTTTAAACTTTATGTGTATGAGTATTTTGCCTGCATGTATGTAAGTGTACGTACGTACAATACCTGCAGAGGCCGAAAGAAGGTGTCAGATCCCTTGGAACTAGAGTTAAGGATGGTTGTGAGCTGCTATCTGGGTTCGGGGATCCTAACCCAGGTCCTCTGTAAGAGCAGCCAGTGCTCTTAACCGCTGAGTCATCCATCTCTTCAGTCCCAGCAGTAGGATCTTAGCATCTAGAATATTGGTAATAGCCTACATTGTTTTGGGGGCCTCTGGGGTCCTTGGGAGTTTTCTGTTGGAAGTGATTGTGTTTTGGAAAGGTGGAAGAGGGCAGGTAAAGGGTAGGGGACTTGAATGAATCTGAGTGATTTTGTGCTTACCTTGGGTTGCACTCATCTTGCAAACCCAGAAGTTTTCCCAACAGGTTTAGATTTTGAGGCAAGGGGTTTATTATTTTACTTTTCAGAAATTATTATATTTCTTTCTGAGAGGAGAATTATTACTACCTAAATTTAACATGAATTAAGGTGCTTGGAATGGATGTGTCCATATAGTTTTTAAAGTATTCACCCACTCAGATTATGGGTGAAGTCCTTTTTTCCACCCCCTTAATTTTAATACCCTTTAGTAAAAGATGACTATATTGACAATACATCCTTTCTTCTCTTTACGTTTTCTCTTCAGGAGAAACTAGAACATCAGTATGCACAGAGCTACAAGCAGGTCTCAGTGTTAGAAGATGATTTGAGTCAGACTCGGGCCATTAAGGAGCAGCTGCATAAGTATGTGAGAGAACTGGAGCAGGCCAATGATGACCTGGAGCGAGCAAAAAGGTGAACAGTGGTGTGTGTTTTGTTAGAATAATCGATCAGCAACTGATAATGAAAATCTGTGCTGTTAGGCTCAAGCTGTCACCTAGATTTTAGTGACATATTTTCCTGTGGTTATTTCACATCATCTGAAACTAATTGGATTGAGAGGGACCAAAACAAAACAAGCTGAGTGTGGTGGTGCATGCCTTTAATCCTAGCACTTGGGAGGCAGAGGCAGGTAGTTCTTTATAAGAGGCCAGCCCAGTTTACCTAGAAAGTTTCAGACCAATCAGAGCTACATAGTGAGACCTTGTGTTTGAGTGTGGTGTATGAACATGTGTGTGTATGGGGGGTGGGGTATATGTGCCTGTGTATGCGCATGGAGGCCAAGGATGGTGTAGGGGAGTGCTCCTCTATCACTCTCTCACCTTATTCCTTTGAGGCAGAGTCTTCTTGAACCTTCAGCTCACTTTATTTTGGCTAGGCTGGTAGACAGCAAGCTCCAGTGATCCTCCTGCCTCAGTCCTTCATAGGTCTGGAGTTTCAGACATATGTAAGACTGTACACAGCTTGTTATGTGGTTGCTAGGGTTTGAACTCAGGTTCTTATTGTTGGTGAGCAAGCACTTTTAACCACTGAGCCTGCTTTCTTTAAATTTTTTCTTTTATCTACTCTTTTGTGGTTTTTCTTTAAGATGTATCTCACACCTGCATGTGGTGTTTGTAGCTATAACCCCAGCTCCTGGGAGGCTGAGGAAGGAGGATTTCTATGAATTTGAGGCCAGCCTGGGCTGTGTAGTGAGTTGTAGGCCTGCCAGGCTATAGAGAGTAAGACCCTATCTCAAAACCAAAAAACAAAACAGAAATGTGTCTCATGCATCCTTTTATCTGCCCTGTGCATTCTCAATGCCGCCGAATGTTCTGAAGGCCTGTATATCTCAAACCTGGAGCTAGCAGTTATCTTTATATTTTAAATCTTAGTTTTAATATTGACTAGTGTATCTCTCAAATTATTGCTTTCATTACAGTTTTCTGGAATATCCTGCCATGGTTTGCTGTTATTGTTGCTAGGTTTTCATGTTTCTGTTATTAGTTGTTTCTTAACCATCCCAAAACTAATCCTATTACTTTATAATTATTGCCTAGTATTTCTTTAATATTTATCAGTTGACATGATTTGATTGACATGATGTTAGTCACTGTCCTTGGGGCTGATCCATAAATGCTCCAGTAAGAAGAATGTAGAACCTGTTTCAGGGCATAGAGGAGGGAGCAACTAGAACATCTGGGGAAGCCTTTTCACAATTGGAGCTGAGCCTGCTAGGCTTGAGTATTAATAATTTAATTGTAGAGACAGCATGGCTGAAGATGAGACTGGAGGGTGCTTGGGGCCAGATTGTGAAGAACCCTGTATGTGATGTTTGAGTCTCTAAGATTTTTTTTTTTTTAAACAAAAGTAAAATTGGATCTTGATTTGAGAAGACAATACTGAGATAATGGAAGTAGGGAGGAGATGTAAGACCATTAAGGAATAATCCAGATGGAAGATGAAGAACTAAGGCAGAAGAGTAGAGAAAGGTGTTGGAGAGATACTTTGGCAGTTGATAGGAATTGATAAGTTTGGAATTGACAGTCAAAGTTCTAACTTGAGGTTAGGGAATTTATTTCTGTAGCAGCACAGAGTGGGAGGGCCACGAAGTAGATGCATGCTCACTTTTGTTGAATGGGGTGAGATCATTCTCTAAATTGGGTCAGGCTGACTGGGTCAGAAATGGCAGGAGATAAACTGACTGCTTCTTTTTGTGCTAGCTGTTTGTACATGTTTATTTAATTCATGGAATTTTTTTTTTTTTTTAAAGGGCTACAATAGTTTCACTGGAAGACTTTGAACAAAGGCTAAATCAGGCCATTGAACGAAATGCATTTTTAGAAAGTGAACTTGATGAAAAAGAATCTTTGTTGGTGTCTGTACAGAGGTTAAAGGATGAAGCAAGAGGTAAGGTGCATAACTCAGAGACTATTTGTCCATTGCCTTCCTGTCCCTAACCAGAGTAAGCTTAAAGATTAGCTTTTTTGATGGTGCTGGGAGTCAAACCCAGGGTCTCGTGCATGCTAGGTCAGCACTCTACTTAAGTTCTAATTTTACATTAAAAAGTCACTGTGCTGCTGGGGGTGGTGGTGCTCGCCTTTAATCCCAGTACTTGGGAGACAGGCAGGCGGATCTTTGTGAGTTCGAGGCCAGCCTGGTCTACATAGCGAGTTCCAGGACAGCTAGGGCTATACGGAGACCCTGTCTCAAAAAGACCAAAAAAAAAAAGTCACTGTGCTAAATGCTTTTAATCTGTTTATTTCATATCTATATCAACAATGCTAAGAAGTAAATATGACTCGATTTTACAGTTGAGAAAAATGAGGCATGGAGAGTTTGAATTTTGTCCAACATAATATTGCTTGTCAGCTGGAAGATTTTACAGTTGAGAAAAATGAGGCATGGAGAGTTTGAATTTTGTCCAACATAATATTGCTTGTCAGCTGGAATTTTTTTCTTTTTTCTTCCACTGAACTTCCTGTTGTGCATACAGAACTGTGTGTATGTTTACATTCTTGTTTATATTTTCTACATATAGTTAATACAGGCTTTCCTTTAAATTTTTCCTCTTTCCTTAGAAGCATAATAAAATCCAGAATATTATAAACAAGACAGTGAAAATCACTGCTACTTTCTTTGTGTGGAGAAAATCCACTAACAGTTTGACAATATTTCTTTCCAAGTTTTCCTAAGATTTTACAAATATATCTGTGTAGTCTCCTTTATATAATTCCTGCCTTCTTCCCTATTGGCAGACCAGTATATATACACACATATTTCTTGTCCTTTTTTTTTTTTTCCTACTTCTTTCTTTTTTGGTCTTTTTGAGACAGGGTCTCCCTGTAGCCTCAGCTGGCCTGGAACTCACTAGGTAGACCACACTGGCCTCGAACTCACAGAGATCCACCTGCCTTTGCTGGGATTAAAGGCATGTACCACCACGCCCAGCTTTTTTTCCTGTTTTTTAATATAAGGGAATATAATGCATGCCATTACAGATTTTTAAAATAGGTTTTAAAAAGTTACGTAATAGGGCTGGCAAGATGGTTCAGTGGATTAAGGCACTTGGTGTCAAGTATGAGGACCTGAGTTCAATCCTGGGACCCATGTGCTGGCAGACGAGAACCAGTGCTTACAAGTTGTCCTCTGACATCTGCTCAGGCACACATACACAAACACACACATACCCAGTTAAAAACATTTTTAGGGTCTGGAGAGATGGCTCAGCAGTTAAGAGCATTGGCTCCTCTCACAGAGGATCTGGGTTTGGTTCCCAGCACCCACATGGTGGCTAATAACTGTCTAGTTACAGGGGATCCAGCGCCCTCTTTTGACCTCTGTGGGCATTGCACAACACGGGCGCACTTACATGCATGCAGACAATACACTCATACACATAAAATAAAAATAATAAAATACTAAAAAATTTAAACTTATACTGATCTATTAAAGACACGGTCTCCCTGTAGCCCCAGCTGGCCTGGAAATTGCTGTGTAGACCAGGCTAACTTCAATCTCACAGAGATCCACCTGTCTCTGCCTCCCGAGTATTGGGATTAAAAGAGTGTGCCACCCCGCCCATTGCTTTTTAATTTGTAATTCCTTACTTAACTATTTATAAAACTTTTTCTTAATCTTTACTGATTCTTACAGATCCCTCCCACCCTTGCCTTTTTTTCCCTTATTCCCTAGGGCAGTATATTCATCTGGAGCTTCTTTTAATTTATGTAATGTATAAAATATTAACTTTGTCTTTGTTTTTGTTTGCAGTGCTAGACGTGAACACAGGACCTTATACATGATAGAAAAGCACTAGGCCACTGTGCTACATCCCCAGTCCTGTTAATTGTTTTCTTGTCCACTTGTTTTGAGGAGCTGAGTGCAACCCAGGGCTAATGCCTGCTAGGCAAGTGCCCTACTACTGAGCTACATCACCAACCCCTTACTTATTTTCAATTACAGTAAAAACCCTACAGCATTACATTTACCATCTTAGCTATTTTTCAGTGTACAGATGATAGTGCCAAGTATTACCACAGTGTTGGGTAAGAGATTGCTAGAATTTTTTTATCTTGCAAAATAAAACTAGATTAACCATTAAATAGCAGCTTACTGTTCCTTCTCCTTCCACTGCTGGAATCACAGTTCTACTTTCTGTTTTTGTGAATGGGATGACTTTGGATTCTTCATATAAGTGGAATTAGTATGTTGTCTTAAAATTTTATCTCTGTGTGTAGTTCAGAGGATAACTTGGGAATTGGGTCTCTTCTCGTAAAAAAAATCCATTTTCTTTATGCATTCCTCCATGGATGGGCCTTTGGGTTGCTGTTTCTTGACTCTTGTGAATAAGGCTGATAGGGACACAGGTTGCCCGTGTCTCTTTGCAATCCTGTTTTGATTCTTTTTGATCTGAGAAGTGGAGTAACTATGTTTTTTTTTTTTTTGAGGCAGGGTTTCATGTAGTCCAGGCTGGCCTCAATGTCACTATGTAATCAAGAACGACTATGAAATTTGGATTCCTCTGCCTCTACCTCCAAATTCTGGAATTAGAGGTGTGCCCTACCACCTGGGTTCATATGGTACTGGGATTGAACCCAGGATGTTGTATATGCTATGCACGTACTCTACCAACTGAGCTCCAGCCTTTTTATATCCTTTTTTTGTATTATTATTTTTATGTGTATGAGCATATTGCCTGGATGTATGTAAGTGTACCTGTGTTATGCAGTGCCTACGGAGGTTAGAAAGGGTGTCAAATCCCCTGGAACTAGAGTTACAGATGGTTGTTAGCTACCACGTTAGTGCTGGGAACTGAACCTGGGTCCTCTATAAGAACAACCAGTGCTCTTAACTGCTGAGCCATCTCTCCAGACTCATTTATATCCTTTAAAAAAAAAATATTTAATGTGTATGAGTGTTATGCCTGCATACACCCATGTCGTGCAGCACCTGCAAAGACCAGACGAGGAGGTCGGATCCCCTAGAACTGGAGTTATGGACAGTTGTTAGCCATCATGTGGGTGCTGGGATTTCAACCCAGGTCTTCTGCAAGAACAGACAGTGTTCTTAACTGCTGAGCTATCTCTCTAGCCCTTTATATCTTTTTTAAAAAAATTTATTTTTATTTTATGTGTATGAGTGTATTGCCTGCATGTATGTGAGTGCACCCATGTCGTGCAATGCCGCGGAGGTCAGAAGAGGGGCTTCGGATTCCCCTGGAACTGGAGCTAAGGATGGTTCGTAGCTGCCATGTGGATGCTGGGAATCGAACCCGGGTCCTCTGCAAGAGCTGTCAGTGCTTTTAACCACTGAGCCATCTCTCCAGCCCCAAATGTGTAGCCCAGGCTGGCCTCACACTTGTGATCCTCCTGCCTCTGCCTCTTCAGCATATCCTCCCTGTGTGAGCCACCACAACTGGCCATCTTTTTTAAACATAAGCAAAAGCTCTGTAGACTAGTTGTATGACTAGAAAACATTAATTAAAAATTCAGTATTTGAAAAAATACATAGTGGTAGTTTAAAAAAAATACAATTGATTCAGAATTATAAGACTACACTTCATTTTTTTCCCCAGTAATTCTGAAACTATATCATTTCAAATGTGATATATATGTGTGTGTGCATGCATGCGTCTAAGGAGCCTGTGGAGGCCAAAAGAGGATGCTGTATCCTCTGGAGATGGAGTTGCAGGTAGTTATGAACTGCTTGGTGTGGGTGCTGGGAACCAAGCTTGAGTCCTCAGTGAGAGCAGCAAGTGTTCTTAAACTACTTAGCCAAAAATTGTGTGTGTGTGAGTGTGGAAATCAGAGGACAAATTAAAGGAGTTGGTTCTTTCTACTAGGTCTCTGGGATCAAAGTCAGGTGTCAGGCTTGATAGCAAGTGGCCTTGCATTTTGGTTCTTTCTACTAGGTCTCTGGGATCAAAGTCAGGTGTCAGGCTTGATAGCAAGTGGCCTTGCATTTTTAAATTTGAAGAGATATTTAAACTGTAGAATAGTCATTTTTATTCTCCTGGAGATGAAAATTATTAGATAAGAAATTCATTCTGGAAAAATATCTTAGGAAGACTGCCTATGACATTTCAGATGTAACTTTACACGATTCCTCTAGTGAGTATTCCTGCCTTTGTTTGCAACATTTTGCAGATTTAAGGCAAGAGTTAGCAGTTCGGGAACGACAACAGGAAGTGACCCGAAAGTCGGCTCCCAGTTCTCCAACTCTTGACTGTGAGAAGATGGATTCTGCTGTCCAGGCTTCCCTCTCCTTGCCAGCAACGCCTGTTGGCAAAGGAATGGAAAACAGTTTTCCTTCGCCAAAAGGTGTGTCCTATCTTTTCTCTTTGACACAATGTTAGATTATCAATTTTAGAGTGTTGGATGATGGAACAGGAGTTGTTAAGGTTTAAACAGTAATTCCAGTATGTTAAGAGTTAAGTGCTATGTGAAGCAGAGGAGAATTGTTTGCCCAGGTCATTGATGTAGCAAACGAGATGATGGCTACATTTAAGATAAGAGCAATTTAAGTAAAAATTTAAAGTTACAAGAGTTTCTAAATTTTTTTTTTTTTTTTTTGTTTTTTTGAGACAGGGTTTCCCTTTAGCCCCAGCTGTCCTGGAACTCCCTATGTAGACCAGGCTGGCCTTGAACTCACAGAGATTTGCCTGTCTCTGCCTCCCGAGTGCTGGGATTAAAGGCGTGCGCCACCACGCCCGGCCTTTGGTATAGTATTTTATGGAGCATTTTGGCTGTGTATATTAAGGTAACTACTAGAGCCCTCTGCTCTGGTAGTTCTACTTTTAGGAACTCCAAAATACTTGTCTAGATGTTTAGGGTTCTTTGTCTTTGTAGCATTGTTTGGAATAATGAAAGCTGGTTGAACTTGTTTATGATGCCTCTATTTTATATCTTCTCCATACCTTGAAATAGTGTGATTTTGCTTCATCTATATCCTGCTCTGTAACAAAAACCCATATGTAAAGGGAGCTGCTGACTTCATCACTTTCCTTTTTTTCCGTAGCTATACCAAATGGTTTTGGAACCAGTCCACTAACTCCTTCTGCTAGAATATCAGCACTAAACATCGTGGGGGATCTCTTACGGAAAGTAGGGGTAAGCATTCAATTATTCACCAGTGGGTGTTTCCATTGCTGATGTAGTGTTGAATTGTTTGTTTCCTGTGGTAAGAACCATAATGAAGCTGATAATCACAAGCATCCAGTGCCCAGCAGAGCCTAGACCTGCTAAACACCTTTAGTCCTGGGCTTAATAAGGTGCTTCTGGAAGGGCCTTTTCTTGCTGTTCCCTATTGCTGTCGATAACACAATCCCTCTGACCTTGGCTACAATACTTTGATTCAGGCTTGCTGTATGTCTTTGAGATCCTTGAATCCTGTTCTTTGTCCCTGGCTGTAATCCTCCTAGTTCTTCATCTTGTATTTTGTGGGATAATAATATTTGGCTTGTGGTATTGCTGACCACTCTTTCTGGGTTTTACTGCTCTTGGGCCACTTCAACTTCAGTGCTAATTCCTGGCTGTAAAGTTGTATTCAGAATACTTTGTCTTTGAAATATGAAACTGATTTTTCTTTAAAAAAATAAAAAAAAAAAAATTACATTTATTTGGTGCCCTTGGAGGTCAGAACAACTTTCAGGAGTTCTCTCCTTCTGTCATGTGGGTTCTGGGAATCAAACTCAGGTCATCAGCTTTGGCAGCAAGCACCTTTATCTGCTGAGTCATCTCTGTGGCCTCAAACTGTTTCTTTTTTTCTTTTTTTATTAAGACATGGTCTCACTGTATAGCCCCGACAAACCTAGAACTTGCTATGTAGACCAGGCTGGCTTGGAACTTATAGAGGTCTGCCTGCCTCTACCTCCTGAGTGCTGGGATGAAAGGCTTATACCATCATGCCCATCTTTTTTTTAATCTTAAAAAGCAAAAATAGCCGGGCGTGGTGGCACACGCCTTTAGTCCCAGCACTCAGGAGGCAGAGGCAGGCAGATCACTGTGAGTTCAAGGCCAGCCTGGTCTACATAGTGAGTTAAGGTCAGCTGAGGCTACAGGGAGACGCTGTCTCAAAAAGACAAGAAAAAAAAAGCAAAAATAAAGGCCATTTTTTTCTTTCTATATTACATTGCTCTAATCATCATTATTTTTTCTCTTCACAACAAACCTTTTAAAAAGCCTGCCTGCATTTATCATTGGCATTTTGAATGCATATATACTCTCTAGACAGTCTGGTCTGAATTCTAGTCTATTCCTTGATTAGCACGCTCACTGGTGCTATCAGTGCTGTCATATTCAACGTGTGCTGTTCTAATTTTATTTGAAACATTCAATGCCTGTGTTGTCATCCCTCCTTCCCCCAAAATGTCCTCTCTTTTGTCATCCCTGATGCTGTTTTTTGACTGCTTCCACCTTTCTGCCCATTTCTCTTTGACATCTTGTGTCTTATCTACTCACTCTTTCAATGATGGTCTTATTGTTTATTCACAACCATGGTTTCATCTGTCATTGGGTGTGTACAGTTTTTACATCGTAATCTCTAGATGACCCATTTCTTTTAAAAAGACCCAGTGCTTGCACCAACTGTGTGTCTCACTGATGCCATAAGCATGAGAATTTGTGCCTGTCATATGACAGTTGCTCAGTAAATATTCGAATGTACGAACAAGTCCTGTCATTGAATGTAGGAAATTAAAGGCCTCGGTGTCTGCTATGGATATATATATATATATATATTTACAGGTCCCTGAATGATGTTCCTCAGATCATCCTATAAGGTTATTTCTTCTTTCTGTCATTGTTTAACTATTTCATTGTACTTTTGCAAAAGAAAAGGGAGAAAAGAAGTTGCAGTCAGTTTTTGGTGCTCCATGTATTCTTACTGGAATCATGGGGGTAGGATGTCCAAATAGAATCTCAAAAAAGTGTGTACTATTTTGTGGATTTAATTTATCTGTAGACTTCTAATCCTTTAGTCTTATGGATTGGAAAAGACTAGAATTTTGGGGGGTGGAGGGAGCATGGCCTGTATTTCCTTTTTTTCTGTGTGGGAGGTATTTGATTTGGGAGAAGTGTTGATAGGAAAGGGGAATTTCATTATGTCCACGTGTGGAAATTGATGAGAAACTCCTGTTCTCTTTATGTCATCTGTTTGCTGGTGAAGCCTGTACTTGTTGGGTATTGTGACAGGAGCAATGAAAAGATACTAAAGTTGGAGTTGAATGCTAAGGGGCCAGTGTCATTTGCAGGTGAATTACTTGTAGATAAAAGTTTTCAGGTAAGTGTTTTGCAGTGTGCTCTCAGGAAGAAAATGGCTTCATTTTATGTGACATTACAAGTATACCCATTCAGGTTCAGTAGAAAACAGTAGATGGAAGCATCTATAAAAAGAGTTGACTGCATTGGGGCTGGAGACATGGCTCAGCGGTTAAGAGCACTGACTGCTCTTGCAGAGGACCCGGGTTTGATTCCCAGCACCCACGTGGCTACGAACCGTCCTTAACTCCAGTTTCAGGGGAATCCTAAGCCCTCTTCTGACTTCTGTGGCATTGCACAACACTGGTGTACTCACATACATGCAGGCAATACGCTCATATGCATAAAATAAATATAATAAATAAAATATTTTTTTAAAAAGTTGACTGCATTAAAAACATTTGTGAGTGATGTTTTTGAATTCTTGGTAATGCATGTTAACAAACACAGAATCCCAACTCTGACCAATATTAACAAATAATGGATTGGGTTGAAAGGTCTGGGGTCTGTCTGTCTCTACCTACTTGTGCTATCTTTTTTTTTTTTTAGTAACAAGGTGTGGATTTTATTTGTGTCCCTTGCTGATACTGAGATGAACAAGAAAATTTCTGAGCTCATTAGAAAGGGTGTCAGTGTAAATGTTCCCTTGTTCTACTGGAAAGACGGTGATTATGGCCTAACTAACAGCCAGTATCCTGGCAGGGAAGAGTTGAAGCCTAAAATGGAAAAGGTTTGAAATACAAATTTTCTCCTGTACAGCTAGTGTTTTGACAGCTGTCATTCTTTCTTTCCTTGTAGGCTTTAGAATCCAAATTAGCAGCTTGCAGGAATTTTGCAAAGGACCAAGCATCACGAAAATCCTATATTTCAGGGAACGTTAATTGTGGGGTGATGAATAGCAGTGGTGCAAAGTTCTCACGATCAGGGCACACATCTTTCTTCGATAAAGGGTAAGTCCTGTTATTTATTTATTTTTTTCCTTGTCAGTTCTAGGGATTGAACCTAGTGCCTCATGTGTTAGGCAAATGGTCTACCACTGAACCACAGCCCCAACTCTTGGACATTTAATGTAATCAGTTTTGGATCAGTAAGTTTACAAATTATTAAGTGAGCTTACCAAAGTCTTGAGAAGCTAAACTCAGTTTGATAAACTTCCCTGAGGTCTGTTCTCATTCAGATCTTGGAGGACAGAGATCTGTTGATGTCCTTTAGTCCCTGTGGAGTCTGTTGCTCCTGGATCCTGGAGCTTGAAGCTTCTGTCCTGGGAACAGACTCTGGGAACAGACTCTTGAAAGGCAGCTGTGCTGGGCTGGGAGAGTCTGCAGGGTTCGTGTGGGTCCTGTTTTCTAGGTGCTTCCAGCTTTGGAGACTCAGCAAATCTCTAGGGAAAAAGAGAAATTTGCAATTATGTGTATGTAACCTGAATGGTGAACTTTATCTCTGAAGAGTTTAGAAATATACAAAGCCCTAAAGTATTTAGACACTCCGTCAAAACAATTGAAAGTTTGAGGCCAGCCTGGTCTATATAATGCTTTCCAGGCCAGCTAGGGCTACAGGGAGACCCTGCCTCAAAAAGACCAAAAATAAAATAAAGTAAAATAAATAAAATATGGTTGAGATAGAACTTCTGTATGAAATGGAACCCCCCCCCCACACTTTTTGGTGAGAATTCAAGTAAAAAAGGTTTTAAGCTTGAAGCAGTGGTATATCCTTAGCACAAAAAGTTTCAGTTGATATAGAAGTATGTGAAATAAAAAGTAAAATTTCTGCTTTCACACTATTTTTTTGTATTCCTTAGAGTTATTCTTAGGCAAATAAACTCAGACTTGTATACATCTGCTACAATCTTCTTACAGCACCTACAGGAGTCTAAGTATTGCTAAGCAGCTTGCCTGTTGGGATTTACATTGCCAGCATCTTTCCATGTTGGTACATTTCATTCTTCCAGATTTTTTTTCCTTCTAAATATGCATGGCTGTCCTCTTGTTATAAACATGACTTAATAGGAACTAGTTGGGGCCTTGGTCTGGATGCTACAATGTTACCTGAGGTATTTGTTACTGTAGTAGCAAATGATGTGCCCATGACCTCTTGTCATAGTTTTCTATGAGTGGTACAGGCAGTTCTTTGTTTTTTTACTTTAAAGAAGCAATGCTGGGAAAATACTAGACATTTTCACAATATTTTTAGAAGTGTTTGTATTTTGTGATGGTCTTAGTAATTATGGCTTATTTATGGAAGTATGGAAATTCTGATTATGTACAGTCTCCTCTTTTTTTTTTTTTTTTTGTTGATTGGTTTTTGACAGGGTCTCCCTAGTCCCAGCCTGCCTGGAAGTCATGATGTGGACCACTGTGGCCCCTTATCTCATAGAGCTCTACCTGCTTCTGCCTCCCGCAGGCTGGGATTAAAGGCATATGCCACCACGCCAGGTGCAGTCTCCTCTTGAAGGAGGTTTTATTGTCCAACCCTGTAGTAGAGTGGCTTATCTCTGTATTTTTTTTTTTTTTTTAAGATTTAGTTTTTATTTTTAAGTATGTGTCCTTATGTGGATAACTGCACGTGAGTGCAGGTGCCCGTGGAGTCCAAAAGAGGGTGTCAGACCCCTTGGAGCTAGAGTTACAAGCATTTGTGAGGTGCTTGAAGTGAGTGCTGGTAACTGTTCTCAGAGGCGTCTAGAAAAGTAGTATTCAAGTGCTCTTAGCCATTGAGCTATCTGTCTAGCCCATTACCTCTGTATCTTAGGACAGTTCTGTCCTGAAGTATACACATTTTACTAAGGACTTCCTGTTAAAAGTACAGTAAAATATCAATATATAGACAGAACTTTCTTCTAACTTTTAGGGTTCCCCAGGTAGGGTAAGTACAAAATTAATTTTCAGCAGGCTTGGGAGTGCTCATGTGTTCGAACTGTTGAATTGTGATGGCATATGACGTGGATAGGTATTTCTCTACAACACTAGCCATTTCCCTCAATGATATGGAAAAAGTTTAGAGGGTGTCTTCAAATAGCATCTAATTGTTTTTCCTTCAACCTATGATTAACTCCAATAGAGTAGTTACTAGTCTGTCTGGAATCATATTTCTTGGTGGGCTGCAGGTATCTTACAGTGTGACAAGATGCATGAACTAGAGCTAGATTGGTTGGGCAGGGGTGTCTGTGGAAGTACTTGAAGATGGCCACAGTGAGAGAGGAGGAACACTGTTGGGCAGGCATTGCTGAGAGATGGTGAACCTGCCCTAGAGGAGATGTGGAGGAGTCAGTGTAGGCTGAAAGGAGAAGGGGTTTTGCTTCTTTGTCTAAATTCTTGCCTAGATGCAGTGTAGCCTGTATTTCCTGGACTGAATGGGAAATGTGCTTCCTGACAGAAGCAGTTATATTTGGCTCTTGTGTTTTGTTTTTAAGCTATATGCATTTAAAATTATTTTAAAAATCATTTTTATTTTATGTGTATGAATGTATTGCCTGCATATATGTGAGTGCTGGTGTGCAATGCTGTGGAGGTCAGAAGAGGGCATTGGATTCCCCTGGAACTGGAGTTAAGGACGGTTCGTAGCTGCCATGTAGGTGCTGGGAATTGAACCCAGGTCCTCTGCAAGAGCAGTCAGTGCTCTTAACCGCTGAGCCATCTCTCCAGCCCCTTAAACTGTACAAATTTTTAAAAAATTGATTTACTTGTATTTTATGAATGTTTTACCTGCATGTATGTAAGTGTATCATACGTGCACAGTGCCTGCAGAGGCCAGAAGAGGGTGTTGGACCCCCAGGAACTGGAGTTATTAGATGCCATGTGGATGCTGGGAACCAAACCTGGGTCTTCTGCAAGAGCAGCCAGTGCTCTTAACCACTGAGCCATCTCTCCAGCCTCTTAAATTGTATACATTTCATACTGTTTCTTCCAAGAATGAAATACGCTTTTGTGGACTGGCCCTTTCGGAATGTTTGCTTAACAAGTGTATTGTGGATATATGCTGCTGTGTTAACCTCATCTGTTTGCTGCATTCTGGAGGATAGCTCTTTCTGGGTTTGCTATGTTAGTGCTTCCTTGCTGCTTTGCTTTCATTCTGTCTTCTTATGGTCTGCCTGACCTTTTATCTCTGGTCTTTCTTCACCTCTCCACTAGTTAAAAATTAAGATGGTCTGTGTCAGCTGTAAATGGAAGGGAATGAGTAGTCTGATTCCCAGATACATTGTGCAGGTTGGAAAAAAGAAGCCAGTCTTTGTAGAAATATCCAGGTATAGCTTGTGATTTCAGCATGTGCAGAGCCCCCATCTTAAAAAGCCCTTGGTGGTAGCACTTGCTTGCCTGAGGAATCTGCCTGCACCTCTGTCCCTGTAGCTTACTAGTGTTGCTGGAGACTGACAAATGTATTTCCTCAGGTTTGTGTGTGTTCACTACACTTTTCCTCAAAGCCTTCAGAGGAATGAAGCCTTGCCACATAAAATTTCACACACCTAAACTAGGTACATTACCTTTTGAGAGTCAAAAGTGTATTATAAATTTTGGTTATCTAGGACTTCTTGGAATCGGGATTTTTTTTTTTTTTTTTTTTTTTTGAGACAGGGTCTCCTTGTAGCCCCAGCTTTCCTGGAACTCACTATGTAGACCAGGCTGGCCTCGAACTAAGAAAGATCTGCCTGCCTCTGCCTCCCAAGTGCTGGGATTAAAGGCGTACGCCACCACGCCCGGCTGGAATCAGGATTTTGTCTAGTCTGGGATTAGTTTGTAAGCCCCTCAGATGCAGGCTGCTGTGTCTGGTTGCCCCAGTTCTTCTCCTACCACCGATGCCCTGTATATTCTAGTCTAAAAGGGTATGAAATTCATGTGGTATAGTCACTGAATTTATTCTAAAATATTTCTTCTTCCATAAATTTAATTTAGTTTTCTTTGTACCACTTGCTCTATGTGCAAGTGATATGCAAGTCAGTTTCTTTAGGCAATGTGTAGGTAGGTGTGGCTAATTTTAGGACATGATGTAAGAATACTGTGTTGCTGTTTAATGATTTTTCCTTTTTTTTATTAGGCAAGAAAAGGTCATATTTCCCACGTTGTTCATGGGTAACTGAATTTGTTTGCTGTGCTCTGTCTCTCTCTCTGTCTTAATCATGGTGTGTGGTGGAAGACACATTAACAAACTGGTTTTACTAACTGCATGGGGCTGAGTAAGCTTTAACCAACTTATAGCTCATGAGTGAGCTGTCAGTATCCTGTTTGACTTGATTCCACAACATTGCTGTTAGCTCTGCTTTGCAAAAACAATACCGCCTCAGGAGTGAGTACCTGTAGTCCCAGCTAGTTGGGAGGCAGAGGTGGGAGTTTGCTTGAGCTCAGGAGTTCAGGCCAGCTTGGCAACGTAGCAAGATTCTACCTCAAACAACAACAACAACAAAAAACCAAATAAAAAGCAAACCCAAAACCAAACCTTAGTGCAGTGATCCTGGATGGCTGGGAGGGCTTGCCTGGTGGCACTCCCTATATAGGGCGAAGCAGTGAGAGCTGAGGGGTAGGTGTGATTGTGAGGCTCTAGGATCACATTTGACTGTTTTCATGGGGATGGTCTTCCTCCTGTCCTGCAGTTGCTTCTGTTTTTGCCTATCAGGAGCTAATCATGAACTTCCTTGCCCTATGCTTGTTCTTATGTTCCCTCTTATCGGGATGGTAGATGAGAGGTGTGTAAAATCTCTTCCCTTTCAGAACTGTTTGTTGTTGGCAAAGCCTGGGCTGAGCACTGGAACTGGCTGGAGCTGCTCCATGTTTCTGTTTACCCATCAACATAAGGAGAACTGAGCTCTGGCTGTTTCCTATTCTTGTGAATCACCTCAAGCTTCCCTCCTTTTCTCCTTACTGCCCTCTCAGGTGGACTGATCTTACTTCTTTGACAGATTGAGAGTTTCCCTCCTTTGTCTCTGTGTTAGATGATTGTCTTCCTGACTGGCTTCTAAAGGTATACCAGCTCTTTTCCTTTCTGTTTTTTCTGTTGGGATTTTACAACTGACCTTAGCACTTCTTCTTATTTGGAATCAGTTTTGCCCTAACTAGATTTTTCGGTGTAAACTAATGGATTGTACCAGACTGGAACATTTTTTTCTGCATAGTTGATTCCCAGGGTCATCTGTCCATCCCTGCTCGTGCCTGCCATTCAATCCTGTATGGTCCACTGGGCATTTCTTTTTGGCTCTCTTGCTGTACCTGTGCATTAGAGGCATTTCTTCTCTTGGGATCTATTCCCCATTGTGCAAGTTTCAGTTTCCTCAAGGAGCCTCTCCAGACCAGAAATCCACCTAACGTCCAGGTTTCTTCTTCTAAACTTCCTACCTCTTTATTCAGAAGAGAAGTGGTAGGTGAGATCTCTACCTCAGCCCTGTGTAGCCTCAACTGCACAGCTTGCTTTCCCCGTTAGAGCTGACCTGTACTGGGAACTTGGAAGTGGTTGCTCACTGAAGGCTGCTGAGTGGCCTGTGACTAGAAGAGGCTAGGAAGGGATGGTGCACCAGAGGGATAGGCATCCTTGAAGCGGGTTGTAACTTTTGACTCCCCACTGGTAGTTCCGTGGGTGAGCTTGGACTCATGACTGAATCTTGCTTTGGTTTCCTTACAGTGGAAATGAGAACTTGATATTACTTTAAAGTGCATCTAATTTAGACCTACACCTATAGCTACATGTGAAACTGCCTTCATGGTTGCTGCTTTTGCAAGCTCTAGTGGACCATATGCCAGATTCTTGGCAACCCACAGTGTACCCCTCTCTGGCGAATTTCAGGGGCTGTCTGTAGTATAGCTTTCCTTGCCATAGTGCTCTCTGTAAGGACAGGCAGCTGAGATTCACATGTTGGATAGTAGGCCATTTGTCCAGTTCTTCTGTAGTTTTTTGGAGAGCAAGCATTGGGAACTCTGGGACTAGACAGACATATGACAGATGGAGCTATGAGGTGAACACTGAATTGGCAAATAGACTGTGGCCTTAGGTTTCAGAAGAGACACTGATGTGCAGCTTTAGCAGAAGGGGATGAATGATTTAAGTTTTAAAAAAGCCTGAAAAGAGAAAGTCCAGCTGTCTATCATAGAAGTAGAATAACATCAACAGGGAAGGATTTCATATCAGTGTCCTTCCTGCTGCTGTGGTTTCTGTTTGTGTGTCTTGATTGTAGATTCCCAATATGGACTGCACTGGAAGCATGAACTCCATTTCTTTAAAGTAGTTGGGGTTCTTTGTCAAGTTTCTCTGCATGGCTCTTTACACATAATACTAAAGCCGCTGTTTATAAATCACTGGTCTTTGCAGGGACTGTGTGGCTCACCTGTTTTTAGAGAATGTCTCTCCATTAGTCTATGTTCAGTTCCTTAGATCCTTCCATAAGCAGATGTGTGGCAGTGGTGGACAAGTATGGTAGTGTGGCCCCTCGCCGTTGCTAGTGGAACAGATTCTCAGGGAGTTTTGGGGAATAGAAAGACTGAAGTTGCCTCCTGCGAGAAGTCCCAGGCCTCTCCTTCCTTCTTTCCCTCTCTCCCTACTTCCCCTCTCTCCCTACTTCCTTGGCTGCCCCATGGTGGGTGGGTTTGGGGGTGCCCTCCACCTTACTGGATGTGCCTGGATGCTGGCGCTTATGTGGAGCTGGGCTGCTGTGTATAAGTGCAAAAAAACAAGCCTTTTCACTTGGCTTTGCTTGCTAAACATTAAAAAAACATATATATATTTCTCCCTTAAAATACTCATATTGTAAGAGATTTATAAAACAATAAAGCATAAACTAGTAAATAAAATTTACAACCCATAGAGAAGAAAAGTAACTCTTGTTAAATTTTCCTTCTGTGATATGAATATGATTTTATGTACGTGTGTGTGTATATATATATATAAAATATACATAATCCACATATTGTATATTTATATTTGTGTATATATGTATACAAATTACACATTCTAGACTTAGCTACATCGGTAGTAGTGTCTGTGTAAGCGGCTCTGATAGTGTAGAATCTAGGCTGTATAACTGCTTACTTTTTCTTTTCTTCATATCACACTAAGCATAGGCAGTTTGGTAGCCTGCCTGCTTTTCCTTGTAGCATTAATAAGTACATTATGAATATTTTCCTGTGCTATTAAAAAACTATGTAGAGCTGGGCGTGGTAGCTAATGCGTTTAATCCCAGCACTAACTGAGGCAGAGGTACGTGGATCTCTGAGTTCAAGGCCAGCCTGGTCTACATAGTGAGTTCCAGACCAGGTGGGGCTACAGGGAGACCCTGTCTCAAAAAGACCAAAACAAAACAAAAACCTATGTAGAATATGTTCTTAATGGTTGTATTTATATTTCATTGTTTTGTTGTACAATTATTTATTTAACTAGCTTCCAACTGCCAGACATTTAGACCTGTTCTATGGAAAAAAAATCAGGATGTGGCTACAATGACCTGTATGTTGCCTAGAAAGGGGTATGTGGTCTTAGTACCCCAGGACTAGGAACTACCCATTCTCAAACCACCAGTACCTCTGAGCAGCCACTTGCCCTTTGAGCTGCCAGAATCCTACTGTGGGTGGGGAAGAGGATGAGCTATAGAAAGCAGATGAGTTTTTTGTGTGTAGAGTGATTTTAAATGACAATCTCTCTTTTTCCTTCTCTCCCTGCTCGTCACCCCCTACAGGGCAGTAAATGGCTTTGATCCAGCTCCTCCTCCTCCTGGTCTGAGCGCCTCCCGCCCATCATCAGCACCGGGTATGCTGCCTCTCAGTGTGTGAGTGCCCGGCCTCCAGGTGGGGGCCCCTGCCCTCCTCCAGCAGCCCAGACACCTACGCCTCGCCCCTCGGTGCCTGGGTCCAGCCCCGTGCCCCTCCGTCTGCCTCTCTACCACTGGCAGAAGGCAGGCTGCATGCAGTGGCGGCTGCTGGGCCCTGCCCAGCCCCAGGACTCTGTGCGATATCAATACTGGCTATTTTCTCTTCTTGCCGTAGTGCCGTTGGTTTCACATGATTGCACTTTTGTGGGTCACAAGTGATACATACGTGTATTACTCGGTCACTGGATGTGGAAGTACCCGTTCATCACATCTGCCTCATAGCCCCCATTGCTGTGCTGATATGATTTAGTTGTGTTTAGGACATTACAGATCTTCTAGAAGTTCTCCTTCAATCAGGTTGACATGTACTCTTTAAGCTCCCACCCAAGCATCTTCAGCGCTCATAATCATGTGTCCCCAGTCTTACTCCTTCAGTTCAGGCCTGTTTCTGGTGAAGAGTCGGGAAGGTTCCTGAACTAGGGAGCTTTGTCTGTACCTTCTGACTGTGTAAGCAGATCATTCCATAGGCTTGCTTCTCAAAGCAGTGAGATGCCTGTCTGAGCCACATGAGGCAAGAGCTTCTGGAGGAAGGAGCCTGGGCCTTCTGGGACTGAGGTCTTGTGCTGCTGTCTCCTCCGTGTGCCTCAGACTCAGGGGAGGCAGGTGGCAGCCTCCTAGCCAGCTTTCTGGTCCCTCAGTTCAATGACATCTCAGAGCATTTTTGTTTTCTCTTCTGAAGGTCCGTCCAGTTGCATTGGGAAGGGTTGAGGGGCCTGACTTTGAGGCTGGCTAGTGCCAGCTCTTGGGGGCAGACTGGCCAGAAGTGGTTGTCCCTTGCATTCTTTGATTATTCTCATGCTGCACTTACTGTTTACATTTGTTTTATTGTATATAGGTTTGTAAACATTATTGCCTAAGATATTTGTATATAACTTGGGCTTTGTAGCTTTTATTTATTCAGACATATATGGCATGTTAATGACTTATGATGGTGTCCTACTCTGGGCAGCTGTATAGGATCATCATGTGGTTAAAAGAAAATACTTCCCCTCCCCCCAAAACAATCTTTTAATGTGGAAACAATAAATTTCACAGAAAAAAAAAAGGGGGTCAAGGTTGCTTCATTTGGTTCCTGCCATCCTGTGAGAGAAGGGTGGGAGCATACCAAGCTGTCAGAAGTCTCATCTCCAACATGGGATGTGTGGTGGAGAGCAGCTGTGAAGCCAGTCAAAGAAGATTGAGGTGGCTTCTGGAGAGGCCTGATGCACTGAGCAGGCATGCTTGTTTCTAGTCTTCTCCCATTTCCGGGACAGCCTGAGAATGGCCTAGGTCCACATGAAATGGAGAAGGAACAGGACTTTGTGGAGGAACTTGCCAGGATATGGCGTACTGCATGGATCCAGGAGCTGGCTTCCAGTTGTGCTGCGTACAACACTGACAAATGTGCTGGGACTAGAGAAATCACATGGGTGTGATTTCTTTCCTTGGGTTGACGTTAACAGATGTGAGAAGGTACTAGGTGTTTGGTAGCAGGACACCAGGTGACACGTTGAGGAAATTGCAAAATGGGGCCAATATGCACCATATTCTGAGTGTTGCTTGTTTGTAGCAGCTCAAACAAAAATAGCGTACTTTATAGTTGAAACCAGAAGTGAATAAAAGTTAAAGTGAGATAGGTTCCTAGGTAAGAAATGTTAAGAAATTCTTTCAAACATATTTGCATCTGCTTGTTCTTAGAGATTTTGTCCTGAGCGGCTTAGCAGGAGGCACTGCAGCCATGTGTGCAGTGGGTGACAGAAAGCAGTCTTTCACCCAAATGCAGCTCCCAGTGTCTTGCCAAATTGTCTTTGGAAGGGCTGGATTAGGGCAGAGGTTTGAGCATTTAGCAGACCTCTTTATTTGGGAACCCCAGATCTGAAAGATAATAAGCAGAGTTCCTGTAGTGAAAATGGGTGAAGCTATAAGCCTCAGGTCTTCATCTCTGGCTCCCAGGGCTTTCTGTTTCTTTGCAGCTGTGTCTCCATGGACTCATCTTGTCCACTCTGAATAAGGTGGGTTGGCTAGGGTAGGGATGGGATGCTACTGTGGCTTTAGGTCCAGGAGAGCATAGGTCAGTGTGTTATACTTATTTTCTGGCTCTTGGTGAGGAGACATTAGTTTGGTTTTTACAACTGTCTCTGTAGCATCCTGTTTGGAGGATTAGGTCACAGTATTTTGTAACTGCTTCTCAGAGCATTTGCTTCTGGGCTGGGATGTGATCAAGTTCACCTCTCTCTAAAGGTTCTCTTTGAGTACCTGCTCTTTGTGGAGGGGTGCCCATTGCCCTGCTGTCACTGAATCCTGAGGAGTGAGAACTCCTTGAGCTAGGTTTGTGTGGTAGACTCCCCTCTTGGAACTGAACTTGCCCCCAGATGTTTTCATTTCCCTTGTTCCCAAAATGACTTCCTTAACAAGAGTAGAAGCCAGGGTTCTACTTCCTCTTGGCTCAGAGTGGCCAAAAACTACACCCACCAGTTCAGCTGAGTACCTGAAACCTAAGTGGGACCTAGAGCTGTACAGGGCCAGAGAAAATTGCATAGATGTGGCCTGTGTGCAGAGTCCACCTCCCCTACTTTTAGAAGGGACAAAGTATCTGAGGTTGGACTTAGTCTGAGTTCCCAGAGCCAGCTCAGACCAAGGCCAGGACTGGAAATGGCCCAGTATCGTTTTCTGCTGTTCTTGCTTTCTAAGGCATCTCTGGCCTTGGCTCATAGTCGGTCCTGTCCCTCAGGAGACAGTGGATTTTGAAGGGTTGAGAATGAACCATGGGGCCAGCACAGCTTTGAAGCAGGGGGAATCCTGCCCTAAGCCCTGCTCTCCAAGCTTCGCTTTTATTGGGCTCCTACCTTTCGTAGGAGCTGTCCCAGAGGTACCATTAGCATCTGAGAGTGGGAGCTGGATCTCTTAGGAAAGTGAGTGGGTACCCTACAGCCAGTTCATCGTCCTACTGGATTAATGCTGAAAACCAGCCTGGCTGCCAGAGGGTGGGTGGGGTGGGCCACATCAAGCAGTTGACCAGTGTTTGCCTAGATGCTAAGACAAGCCATTTTACATTCCAAGTTTTACTTCATGGATTTTTTTCTCTATTTCCCACAAAGGTTAAAACAAATTTAAAACACATGCTTAGCTTTAAAAAGAGATGTTGATTCTTTAAAAATGAGTAGAGGGGGAGGAATGTTATCTTTGAAAATCAAACACCTCATCTGAAAAGTGACTGTTAAGCCTGTGGAGTGAATACAAATGTAAGACTTCTTTTTGATAAGATAGTTCCTATGGAGAGGTAGACTTTGTTTCTACTCACTCTGAGGCCTAGGAACTTGCTGTGTAGCATAGGCTTGCTTCAGACGTGGGGCAGTCCTGCCTCAGCCTCCTGAGTGCTGGGATATATAGACGTGTGATTCATTGTGCTAGCTTGAAGAAGCAAATTTGAAAACAACAAACCTAATAGTGCCTGTGTTGGGGGACCAAATGGGATTTGTACTGCAGTTTTATGATTCTTTGTCCTGCTGTCCATCTACACCCACAGGAATTCTGTTAGCGTTTCCTGTCAGCTCTTTAGGAAGCCTTCCCTGAGGCAGACATGATGCATATGGAACAGAAGTTTAAACTTTTCACTGATGGGTTCTTTTCTAACCAGGTGTCATACTCAGCTGCGGTCTCCACTAACATGCAGTACGTAGATCCTGCCTGGATTGTGGTCATGGGTGGACTCCTGGCAGGAGGGTGGGGGTTCATTTGAGGGATACCAAGTGGGGCTCAGTGCCAGAGCCCCATTGCTTTCTGCACTAAAGGAGCTAGGGAACACTTTTTATTCAAAAGTTTTAGCTAGGAAAAAAGTACTTATAGTGACAATCTAGTACTGTCATCTAGAATTTAGAGGGAGAGGTGTATTTTTATGTCATTGACTTTATTATGTTATGTCTTGAATCAGCCTGTGATAAACTATAAGCCCTATGATAGTAAGAATAAATAAGATAAAATTTCAAGAAAATAAACTTTAATGTCAGCATGACTTAACATTATGAATCCCACAGAGCTCCCAAGTATAGCCATGTAATGCACAAGACCAGAATCAGTGAGAGACCACAAAACAAGAATGGAAACACAACTTAAAAAAAAAAAAAAAATCAGGTGAGGCTGGGCATGGTGGTGCATGCCTTTAATCCCAGCACTTGAGAGGAAGAGGAAGGTGGATTTCTCTTGAGTTCGAGGCCAGCTGGGGCTCTAGGGAGACCCTATCTCAAAAAGAAAAAGAAATCAGGTGAAATAGGATGTAGATGGCTTACTCTCAGGGTTTTAAATTAACCTCTAAGGTTGCCCAAACAATTTAAAAAATATTGACCAAAGTCATAACATTGGTTTTCTTTCACTGCCCAAGTTGGCTTGAAGCCCTGTGTTGAGACGGTCCCAAGATTTTTGAGTTGCAGCACCAGGCAGTAGCTCTCTGACCTGCCCACTCATTAACTCAGGCATCCCAGGGGCAATAACTAAAATAGATTCCCAGGTGTCCCACAGCCCTGGCCTCATGAGGACTATATATTTGCAATAATCTGAGACCCCAGTTGTTAGGAGACTTTCCTTCACCAAGAAAAACATGGTAGCTAGAACAATAGGCATGTTTATCGATTTGACTTGTTACTGGAAGCTTTTAGGTGACTTCACACAGATTTCTAATCTTATCACACCGTATGAAACAGGGTGAGAAATTGACAGTGTGAGTCTGGCATGAATCATTCTTTGACCCAGAGTTGTTCTTATTTTCCCAGGCAGTGTCATCCTCTGTGCCAGGGTGAGTGTTGATGCTGTGGCATTCCTGGAAAGCACCCCAGAATTTCCTAAGTGGCTGGGCAGTGTTCTGCAAGTTTTGATGCTGGGCTTTATTACCATGAGCCAGGCAATGAGCCACATCCCAGCTGCCACCTGCTGACAGTGACTTGTGAGATGCATGAGATTTGGGGCATCTTAGACTCTACACAAACTACATCACATTACATCTTTAAAGCAGTTTCATGACATCCAGTCAACTAGAATGGAGCCCATTGATTGGGCCACTTTGAAAAGCAAAAAGACCACACTGCTGTAATGAGTCAAAATGACTCTCTAGCCTTAGGAGGGAGGCATACTTCTTGGCGTATGGTACAAGGCACCATGATTAGCGCTCATGTCATCTTGAGATCAGCATCATGATGTACACACACCTTTTTCTATAGTTCCATGTTATGACTTCTCATGAGGTAATTCACATGACAGATTGATTCCCAAATGACAAGTGCACAAGGAGTAGCCTATAGGATGTGGTCCCGTTAGCTGGTCCAGCAGAACAGCTTTTTGGTGGACACCTAAGACTGGGGGAAGCTCTTGGTGTGCATGTTGCCCCAGAAAGGTGGGGAATGGTCTCCCCTTGGGTGGCCACAGTTTCCCTCTCAGACTTGCTGAAACTGGGAAAGGGGCCCATTCTTTTCCCCCATTCCAGAATCTAACATACGGCCATTATGATTTGTTTTTGTTAGGTGGAGGGGTAGGAAGAACTAGTTTCTAGAGCTCTTCCTGTCTACAGACTCATCTGTTCCTCAGTTGCATTGGCTTTGGGGTCAAACTAGTGGTATAGGGCTGTTGGCCAGAAAGACAGCTTGGCTTTATAGACCCTAATTCATCTTAGCTGAGGTTTAAGCAATGGAGAAATCTGATAAACTGTGAGAGGCTCTGGAGTCTTTCTGATGTCAGGGCTTTGGAAGTGTGTGTTCAAGCCAGCAGGCCAGCAACAGGTATTAGTCTTACCAGAGCAGTTCAAAGTAATCCTCTGGACAGGCTACATTTTAAGAAATAGTGTCTGTGACATGCAAGGGCAGGGCACTTAGATCTTGCTCCTGATGTAACACTTCTAGGTAAAGCTAGCTGGCTTCCTTGACTTTGTGGCATACTCGAAGCCCACCTGCTAAACTCCTCAGGCTCTAAATGTTCAACAGAGGCTTTGAGACCAACACTGCTCCTCTTTGTAGCCCAAAGTGGCCTCAATCACAGTCTTCCTTCCTCTGTCTCCTGAGTGCTGGGATTAGAAGTGTGTGCCACCATGGTCGTCCAACAGAGGTTTTGTAAACTACCTTTGACTACAAAGTGGGGATTTGTTTAGTGAACAAAGGTTCCTTCTACTGTCATTGTGGAATCAGGAACTGGAATGGGTCCATGAAGGCTGTGTTTCTTCTGACACGCTGAATTGAGAAAATGTGACATGGATATTAATCAGGCCAGACAACAGGAAAGAATTATTTTTGAGACACGCAGTCCCCTAAGTCCATGAACTCCTGGACTAAGAGTGAAATACTGGAACTTTAACCCACTTTCTTCTCCCATGCTTGGGAAGGGAGATGGGAGCACTTTTGTCCATTTTTTAATATCCTTGCTCTAACAAAAAGCATAAATGCATCTCCTACTGGGTACATGTCCAGGCATTTTCCAAGTCGGCCTGATGCTGTGGACTAAGAAATCACAAGCTCACTTCCTGCTCCCTGAGGTTTCTCTGTAACCCCATACCAAAGAGGCTGCAGTGGGGAGCCAGTGTTTTCAATATACATCTTGTCCAAACATTCAGCCCCTAACTTCTGGGAACTCAACGCCCTAATCCAGTCTTTGCCAGCACTGCCCAGAGAAGTAGTTGGCCATTTGACAGTTTCAAGGAGATGCCAGTGGGCCTGGCTCATGGTTCAAATGTGTGTAATCCCTCTCCAGTCTGGTGACAGATGGGAACCAAGAACAGAAGGTGAGAAAACACATTGATTCCATGTTCACATGATTACTCTTGTTTATTGAGGTCTGTTTTTTCTCAACGGGTGCTTTTTCCTCCCAGTAAACAGAACAGGCGTAAATATCTATAATGAATAAATTTATTGTCTTACAAAAATCATTGTCTAGAAATATGGGAATACAAGAAAAGATATTTGCAGTCAGGTGTCTGGTGATCAACAGCCAGTACAATTCATATAGGGGAAGTCAAAGATTCCAAACCCACGTGACAAATTCTTCCTAACAGATGTTAAAGCTCTTAACCCAAAAGGTCTGTGTTTTCAAGCACATTGCAGAGGATTGGGATTTATCAGGGATTTATCATTAACACTGATTGGTTGTCACTGAATGTTTATAATACTACTCTGACTAGAGAGGTACATGATATGAAGCACAGTCAAAACTTAATTAAGTTGTTATAGAGGCAAATAATATATTTAACATTGTCTTAGTACTGTAGTGTCTAAGGCACTTTCTGTAATGTCAGTTTGTTCAACTATCAACCAAAAACAGAATGCTAAGTGTTCACTGTAACACTGTCCAAAGGAAGAGAAAAGGAAAAAAAAAAAATCGATGATTCACGAACCCATTGGTGTGTCAACATTCAGGCAGGTGGCATCTGTTCTTGAGGTCCTTTAACCTCACTGACAAACTTGGAACAAGCCTCCCAACACAACTAGTAATCCCATTTTGGGCTCAAAGCAGTGGCTGAATTTGCAAGGTCAGCATAAGGGTCTGGCTGGCAGGGGACGGCCTTCTGTGAGCATCCGCAGGCTACAGCGGATGACTCTTGAAGCGAGGAGGGCATCGGCAAGCCAGGCACACTTCAGGGGACCATCTGGAAGTCCTGTGATGGCTGCCACCTGGAGCCTTGCTGGTTGTGGTCACTACCCTGTGTGTGCAGACAGCCTCTGCCCAAGGACTATCCACGTGAAGAGATGGTCAGGACACCATCAACTTGAGGAGCAGAGGATCCCTCAGAGATGGGCATGATAACCCCAAATGGATGCTGTTCGCCCCAATCTACCCCACCCCTCCTAAGCTTCCACAGCCCCTTTCACAGTTTGCTCACTGAAACAGTGATCATTATTCAAAGGAAATGAGAGATACAAGTGCAGGTTAGGTTCCACAATGTTCTAAGAGACTGGATGTGGTTGAGTCAGGGCCACATGAACACAGAACTAAGGTACCTGTTAGGGAGGCAGAACATGCAGAGCGACTGAGCAACGACCCTGGGGCAACCGGCAACAAAGGGTCTAGAGTTTGTTTTAAAAAGGGCTCTTCTTCTTAACGTCTTATAAAATGGTCTCTTGATGACTATATGGAAAATAGATGCAACGATGAGACAATCTGTTTAATATGCATGTCTTGTGTAGGTATATATATAAAAAGGGGAGCAATTGTTTGAAGCAGGATACAGTCTACAAAGCCTTAAGACACAGTTGATCTTCCCATAAGGAATCCCATTGCTTGTGATTCCTGAATCTGCAGATGTCCCAAGCAGAGAGGCACTGGGTTGAGTTCCTGCGTGTCCACTGCATCACCTCTGACTTCCCATGACTCTACTCTGACTGGGGCGGCTGTGTCTCATTGACATCACTGGTCTTACTTTCTGTGTCATCATCTGACAGCTCCAGTGAAGCTCCCTCAATATGTAGCTGGCGCCGGCCAGATCGGCTGGAAGAAAAGCTGATTGGGCCGCCCCGCCTGGAAGACAAAGCAGACATGGGTGTATGCCTAAGAGCATGTGGCTGTCGGGCTGTTTAGCCCTGAATGATGCTCCTTTTCCACTTCCACCCTAGTCTGGGATACATGGCCCTGGGAGGTGGGCTCTACAAGGAAAGGCCTTGTACTTTTCCACTCTATCATCTCCACCAAGCACAGTGCCCATGAACAGGGTCCCCAGAGACTAACATGTTGCCAACTCCCAAACAGCCTTCCCCTGTAAAAGGGCAAGTTAGGCAAATAGCTTTGTGGACTACATAGGGTCTCTATTTTAAAACTGGCCTTTCAAAGCTCAGCTGCTGCTTTCCTGGGTGGTGAGTATGTGGTTTGCTCTGCTGTACTCTGCTCCTCACTGGTATACAGAAGACATGTGAGGAGAGTTGATGAATTAGGGCCTGCGAGTGGAGGCTATGACCTCCCATGTAGATGTCTGGATTGGACACGTGGCCAGGCCCAGGCTCTGCAGGGTTATGTGGTGTGGTGTACCGGTCCAGCCCTCAGTGAGGGACCTACCCCTCTGCCTTCTCACTCCCCACTCAGTACTACAGTAATTCCAGTGAGAGGACTCTCCACGAGTCTCCATAGATGAGTTCTCCTGAACGAACCAGGCTGCCACCTACCAGCTTGTCTTGTCCTCACCAACACTTACCTCAGTCGGTTCTTCAGAGTGCTGACCTCACGGCTCAGGCCCTCATTGGCCTCTGTGGCATCATCTAGTTCCCGTTGCAGTTTACGCCGAGATGCATTGGCACGTGTAGCTTCCTCTTCGGCTTCCTCCAGCTGGCGTTTAAGCTGCTTCATCCTGGCATTGGCCTTCTCCATCTTGGAGTCACATGAATGAGACAAGGCAAAGAGTGAATCGAGGTCAGCCTTTCTGTGCCTGGAAAGTGTTGGTACGGCTCTGGTACAGTCAACACACACATACACTTCAGGGTTGGTCTGAGGCTTTTCAGCTTACCTGCACTCGGCAAAACCAGAATTTACAGAATTTACAGAGCTATGCTATGAGGAATGGAAACAAAACTGTTTTTAACCCATGTATTTTCTATAGAAAAAAAATTACCTACATTAAAATTTTCCATACACGTGACCTATGGCATAAAAAAATGACCTGATTTGAGATTTTCACACAAGTGACTGATGGGGTTGTGAAAAGGAATTGCTATTCCTATAAAATGCTGGCGGGCTAACAGTCTGGGCAAGTGTCCACTGTGGGGAGACTGTACAGGTGTTTTCACATGGCTATTCAGACATCACACTGGGATTCAAGTATAGAGATGCTCTAGGAAGAATGCACTATTACCTGCCTCTAAGAACTTGCCATTGCTCCTCTGCTCCAGAACTTCCAGGGACTGGCCATTGCTGTGGGCTCAGCTCTCACCCATGAGGCACAAAGGGGAAGGCAGGCACAGGCCAAAGACAGTGAATCCTCTGCTGTGTACCTTCACCCAGTGTCTGTACTGATGAGACTTACCAGCAGAGGGGACAGAGGGAAGGGAGGGCATAGCCACCCAGGCTGCAGTACAAACCTGACCTATAGTTAGGGTGTCTGAGTGCAGACAGGGAGGGGGTACTCAGTTTCCACAGGCAGTACATTTGTTTTCACTTTCCATTTGTTTTTAAATGCTTTTGTTACTATTTGCAGATAGGGTCTTGGGTAGCCCATGCTGGTCTCGAACTCCTGATCCTCCCACCTCTATCTCTGCTACCATGCCTGGTTAACATTAATTTGTTTAGTATTTATTTATTTTTGGTTTTTTTGAGACAGGGTCTCCCTGTAGCCCCAGCTGTCCTGGAACTTACTATGTAGACCAGGCTGACCTTGAACTCACAGATCCGCCTGCCTAAGGCATGCGCCACCACGCCTGGCTAGTATTTATTTTTTTGTGGTATTCAGGATTGAGCCTAGGGCCTTGTGCATGCTGGACAATTCTCTATATTCCCAGCTATGTGCTTTTATTCACCATCTCCTGCATCTACTGTTTCCTGACCACTAACTATATTCATTATTCTAGGCACCAGGAGTGAAACTGGGAGAAGCAGTTAATAGAGGACACCAATGGCAATTATAAACTTCAGGCCACACCCCTCAAACCTTCACTGACCGGTCTTGTGAATCTTGTGTACTGAGTGCCCTTCATTTTATCACAGGTGGGAACACCGGGTGGACCATGTGGGTTGAAACCTAATTAGTTCCCAGCTGTGTTTTCTTAATCTGACTCATTTTGCTCTGGCTGAAGTGTTTCTAGGGTGTATGACCTTCGCCTCATACCTGCTCTTTATACTGATCTGCATGTCGCCGCTCATCTTCAACTTGCATGAAGATTTCTTTCAGCTTTTTCTCTGTACGACGGACTAGTTTGTTGGCAGCTGCTCGTTCCCTGTGGAAGTGATCATAATGGTTTTGAAGTTCTTGAAATTATATTTTAAGTGGGGAAACTATTTTTTGAAGTTCTTTTCTTTGGAAAATGATGCACACTGGAGTGCCTTTATAGACTTCCTTTCCAGAAGTCTGCCTAAAATGGATCACCTTTTCTTTTTTTTTTTTTGTCTTTTTGAGACAGGGTCTCCTTGTAGCCCCAGCTGTCCTGGAACTCATTATGTAGACCAGGCTGGCCTCGACTCACAAAGATCCGCCTGCCTCTGCCTTCCGAGTGCTGGGATTAAAGGCGTGTACCACCATGCCTGGCTAAAATGGATTACCTTTAATGTACCCTCAATGTTGAGAGAGCATTTTGTTCCTATGCACACAGGTATTAATTGCTTTATTCAATGACCCGAATAGCAAACATCACATGTATCTATCAGTTATACAAAAGAGACTTTTGTTTTTGAGGCAGCATCTCACTATGTAGGTTTTGCTAGCCTGGAACTCAACTATGTAGACCAGGCTGGCTTCAGACTCACAGAGATCCGCCTGCTTCTTGCCTTCTGTGTGCTAGGATTAGAGGTGTGAGAGACCACACCTGACTAAACAGACCCAACTAAACAGACTTTTTGAAGACAAAGGTCTTAGCTGGTTAGTCTAATCACTTAGCCTTTTTGCCTGAAGGCAAAACCCCCAAATCTCAATTTATTAAGTGATTTTATCACTTAATAAATTAAGTGATTAAATTATATAGAAGAATTTAGTCGGGCATGGTGGTGCACACCTTTAATCCCAGCACTTGGGAGGCAGAGGCAGGTGGATCTCTGTGAGTTCAAGGCCAGCCTAGTCTACATAGTGAGTTCCAGGACAGCTGAGGCCATAGGGAGACCCTGTCTCAAAAAGACCAAAAAACAAAACAAAACAACAACAAAAACCCACCCCCAAACAAATATAGAAGAATTTACTCAATATTGACTATGACACTGGGAGCTGTTACAGCTGACGAAGAACACCAAAGCCCACTTTCACTTGAGTTCGAAGTGAAAACAAGTCACCAAATGCTCCCGGGACTGCTGCCCCATATGGAGGAGAGGTGACATTTGGAGGACTCCATATGAACAGAAAACATTCTTTCATACCTTAAATGCTATGCAAAAATGGATCTTTGGTGGGACTGGGGGAAAGGGCAAATTTAAACTTGTTAGTGACAGCTCAGTGAAAAACTTTAACCAAATCTCACCGATGACACTTCCAAACACTCCTACCCAGTAGAGTGCTAAGAGGACTGGCAAAGCAGTACTGGCTGTTGGGGAGGGACGGTGCTGAATGCTCAGTGCAGGTCCTGCATTTCTAAGCCCCACACTCCCCTATCAATAAGGTGAGTTTGAAGGTGGGCTCTGGCTCTGGCAGTCCATTATTCCAGTGATGCTGTGGCTGCCTGCTCATGCTGTATGTGCTGTACAGTGCTTATAGTTTTCACTAAGCTTCAGTACTTCACAGTGGAAGCTGTCAAGCAGTCCTTCCCTGTGTGGGAGGAAAGGCTTTTATGTCACACTGCATTTCTTCAGTGCCTCACAGGATGCTCCCAGCCTGGGAAATGGACTGTGGGTACAGATATAAACTTGTGCTAGGAAGACATGGCAGTTTCTGAGCTCTCCTCTCTCAGCTCACAGCACCTTCTACCTCCTGCGCAGCCACATGTTCTTGTGTCACCGCCTCCCCTGCTCCCTAAGAGCAAGGGGCACTTCTGTGTCATGGCTCATGCACACTGGGCCTGCAAACTTACTTGGCTTCCTGCTCAAGCTGCTCCTCTAGTTGCCCGATCTTGGCTTCCAGGGCTGAGATGGTAGCCTTGAACTTGGACTTGACAGCACCCTCGAGCTCTTGTAGCTTGGCCTTCAGCTCCTTGTTCTGTCGCTCCAGCTGCTGACGAGCGTTGTCACTCTTCTGGGCAGCGCTGCGCTCAGCTGCCAGCTCTGTGTTCAGCGTGTCCACCTGGAGGAGGAGAGATGGATTCAGGGAGTGGCGCAGAGGCAACACGGCTGCTCCCAGGGATGGGCTGCTGCCTAGCTACCTGTAGAGTGGTCTTGCGGAAGCGGTCGTTGAGCAGCTCCATGTTGCTCTGCTCCTCCTCCAGCTCCTCTTCCAGCTGTGCAATCCTGGCCTCTAGGCGCCTCTTCTCATCCAGCAGCGCAGACCTGGGGGTGACAAGGAAAAGGCATCAAGCTCAGCCTGGGAACTCTTGTGTCCACCCCACTGCTGGTGACCTGAGCACTTCTCCTGGTATTTCCCCTGCATATCCTCATGACCTAGGGACAAGTCCCACCGATTATACTTCCAGATGCTTCCAACCCAGTTTTCTTCTCTTCCCACACTGTCTTCCTAGTCCTAGCACCGTCATCTGTGCTCTGTCCTATGGTGACCTTCCAGTGGCCTCCCTGCTGCTGCCTCTGTTTAGACTGCAGTCAGGATCTTGGTTTAGATCTCTAAAATCCTTGGCTTAAACTCTCACAGTGCCCCAACACTCCAAGGAGAAAGCAGCTTAACTGGATAAAAGAAGATTTTTAATGAACAAACTAATTCAGTGGAAGGTCACGCTTAAGGAAGCTGCTTGGGAAACACAATAAACTTGCAATGCCAGGCCAAGCGTGGGCCTATGGATGCCTGTTGTGTGCGAGGCCACTGGGACTAGTACTCGTATGTGCCTGTGCATGTGAATGTGTGTTGCATGTAAGACAGGCAGTGGCTGAGGCTGTCCAGACCTGTTGCTGTGTGGTCATCCTTCCAGATCTGAACAAATAAGCCACTTACAGACTCAGATGCCAGATGATAGCCCTGGCCTTCCCAAGTACCCATACCTGAGGGCAGAGAACCAAGGCTGTAGAATACCACCACAGGGCAGGCACCACAGCTTTCTAGATACCTGCCCCTTCTACCTGCTACCAGTAGACTCACTTGCCAGAAGCGCTGTTGGCGATCTCATCGGCCAGCTCATCTCGTTCCTGCTCTGCATGCCGGCGGGCGCGTTCAGATGAGGCCAGCTCCTAAATGAAGAGAGACTGAGTTAAGCCTGGCATTGTCATTCTCCCACATGAAACATGACAGTGCTTAGCTCCCACCTTCCATGCACCCCAAACTGCAGTTTACAAGACAAAATGCTCCAAAGTGCTAAAGAAAGTGACAACCAGCAGGTGAGGTATGGTTCTGAACCTCCTTCATGGACATGACTGCTTTGCTTCCAGTTGAAGGAATGGCTATAAGGCCGTCCTTGAAAGGGCAAGCTGTAGCCTGAACCTACAGAAATATGAGCAGCATCCAATTATGCTCTGTTCTGGGCCTTCGAACTATTGACCATGATATGCTAAAATCAGAAACCAACTCAAAAAATGCCATACATTTTGAAATTTAAGCCACACTGTAAAATTATTTGTGGGATAAAGAAGCCCTAATAGAAATTAGAAAAATATTGAATTAAATGATAGTGAAATCTCTCATCAAAGTGTATGGGATGAAGTAAAAACAGAACTTTAGAAATTTATAATCTTTTGTGAACATATTAAGAACAAAGGCAGCGCAACCCCAATTCTGACCATGTCTTTTCCAGCAGAAAGGTAGCTTTTTCACATCAACTATTTTCATACTAATGCCTCAGGGCGCTGTCTTTTGAATTTATCTTAAGCATCTTTCATTTATACAGAAATGTGTACATTCAAGCTGGGTGTGGTGGCACCTGTCTTTAATCCCAGCAATGGGGAGGCAGAGGCAGAGGCAGAGGCAGGCGGATCGATGGGAGTTTAAGGCCAGTCTGGTCTACATAGTGAGTTCCAGGCCAGCTGGGGCTATAGGGAGATGCTGTCTCAAAAAGACCAAAAAAAGAAATGTGTACATTCAAGAGTGCCTTGTATAGGTAGAATGCTGGACTTGAAGCAACATGTCATGAGAACTTATTAAAGGGAGGAATGAAGAATAATTATTTGATTACAAGATGATTCAGGAATCCAATGAAACACAAAGTGTAACAGGAATAGTACTTTGTGTGAAGCACAGGACCCCTCCAAATCTGGTCAGGGTTACTCGAAGTAGCTTACATTAAATAATGGTCTCTTTCCTTTCTCAGTGTGACAAGCCTCTAGCCAGCTCATCTGCCTTGAGCCAGGTAGTGCAGTACACATGAGCAAGTGACGAAGCCTAGTCTTTCACTGAAATGAGGCAGTGAGATGGTCCCCAAAAATGGACCTTAAGCTACATCACACTACAAAAGTGTGGACACATACTCATTCAACTTCAGAGAAATCCTAGGGCAAGTCTTTGCTGAACAAGTAGATGACAAAGCAAACATACCTCCTGCAACTGAAGGATTTCTGCTTCCAGACTCTTCAGTTTCTTTTCGCTCTCTTTGGACAGAGCAAAAATCTCATCTCTGGAGGCACGAGCTTCTTCTAATTCACGTTGGTAATCCTTCATCTGAGCCTAAGATGAAATACGGAAGTGGTTTTAGGGGGTAGTTTTTAATTCTTAGCTTTAAGTTCTGTAATACTGTTTCAGATTATAAAACCAGCACATTGTAAACATAACAGGACAGAGAAAGAATGAAGATATCACAAGACAATAGACTAATATCCCTTATGAAAAAAAATCCCAGTAGCAAACTTGTCCTGGCAACATGTCAAACAACAGAGGCCATGAATAAGCAGGATTATGAGGAATGCGAAGGTAGCTTGACAAGCAAAAAATGAACTAATATAACCACATGAACACTTCACTAGGCACAGAAGCAGTGTTTGACAAAAATCAAGTTTTTAAATAAAGATGCTCAACAAGCTATGAAGAGCACAGAGCTTCCAACTCCAGTCTGCAGCGATGCAGGGATGCCCGTCCTTATGTTACATAATACCATAACGGAGAATTGAGCCAGGATAATTAGATAAGACAAAGAGGTTAAAAGACATCTAGATTGGAAAGGAAGAAGTAAAACTAGCTTGATATGTTGGTATCATCGTGCATTTAGAGTCTTAAAGCATCTACTAAAAAAGCCCTTAAAAAAAGAGTTCAGCAAGATTGATACAGGATTAGTAAACAAAAACTGCATTTTTTAAACTGAACATTCAAAGATAAGCATAGCATACTTAATATATGCCTAATTAGGCACAAACATGACAAAAGATGTAAAGGACATGAGACTATAAAATAAGAAATTAAACATACAAATAAACAGCAAGAAGTCAAAGTTCTTGGACCACAGGAATATGTTAAGCTGGCAAACTGAGCAACAATTAAGATCCAAGATTGCTTCTTTTGTTTAGAAATTTACAAGATAAAGCCGGGCGTGGTGGCACACACATTTAATCCCAGCACTGGGGAGGCAGAGGCAGGGGGAGCTCTGTGAGTTCAAGGCCAGCCTGGTCTACTGGGAAACCCTGTCTCAAAAACACCAAAAATTAAAAATAAAAAATATGGGCAGAGGATCAAACGACATTCTTCTGTAAAGGATAATGGTGGCCCACACCTTTAATTCAGCACTTGGGAGGCAGAGGCTCTACATACTGAGTCTACATACTGAGGTCTACATACTGAGTTCTAGGCCAGTTGGGGCTACAGGGAGACCCTGTCTCAAAAGGACCAAAAAGAAAAAAAGAAGAAAAAAAGATAGTGGGCAATGTATGTATAAAGAGATGCTCAATACCACTAGTTAGTCAAGAAATGCAAATCAGAACAACAATGAAAGGAGGGGAGGAGGGTGGGTGGGGGGTGTAACTCAGTTGTTAAGATGGCTGCCACACAAACACAAGCATCTGAGTTTGGATTCCCATGAGCTCCAGATTCAACAAGAGACCCTGTCACACAAATGAGGTGGAGAGTGATGGAGAAAGACCCGATGTTGATCTCTGGCCAACACACACACATACACACACACACACACACACACACACACACAGAATTACCCATTTACTTGTGTGTATCCACACAAACCCAGTCAGATGCCATTTCACACCACCTGAAATAGCTATAACCAAACAATGGAGATTAGTAAAGTTTGGAAAGGCTATAGAGAAATTGAAATGCCTATACATTGTTGGTGGTAATTAGTGCAGTTACTGTGGAAAAATTTGGCAGTTTGTCAAAGTTTAATGTAGATACAATATAATCTAGCACTGCTAGGTCCATATTCAAGAAGACTGGAAGCACAGGGCCACACAAGTGTAAGCGTTCAGATCAACGTAAAATTTACAATAGCCAAAGAGGAGGAACAGCCCACTGTTCACTAGCTAATGAACAAAATGTAATATCATCTCTGTTATCTATATATCCACACAGTAGAAGTATCCAGTAATAAAGCTATGAAGTACCTATTCACACTACAACACGCAGAAGCTTTGACAATGTCAAGGAAGCAGATTGCAGGAGCACATATCTACGACATGTCCAACATAGGCACTTCATACGCTCCCACCAGCCACTGAGGAAAGGGCCATCCCACGCCTGCTTGTACAATCAATTACTTAGAAATCACTCTCACTTTGGCTGTAAAATGGCATCATCTGGGCAGCCAAAGTGACAACTGGAACAGACTGAAAAGATTAATGTACATGGCACTACAGGAGGAAAGTTACACCGCCTTCTCTCGGGGGACCTGGCTGGGTGGTGGTCAGTCAAGTATCATCAGAGGGTTTTTTGGGGCCAGGACCATGTTCCAACAAAAATACACCATCCGTCAGCTACTCCCAGCTCTGTGTCAAAAGCGAATTATATAGACACAACAAACACATGCAGCCTCGTAGTGCCAGCTGCCCCCACAATAACCACAGCTGCTCTGGGTCCTCAGTACAGCAGTGGCTCAGCACCAAGTTCAGTGACAAAGTGGCAGCTGTGCGATGCGCTCATTGTCTCCCCCCCCTGCCACCTCCCCCATCGGCTTTACTGATTATCCTTGTGTAAAACTACTTGCCTGGTCCCAACAAGGCCACTGATCCTGCTACAGAACTTCAACGGCCTGCTGTACCTACCTGAAGTTTACGGAGCTGCTTGATCACTTCATCCCGAGCTTTATTTGCAGCCTCGATCTGAGCTTCAAGATCCTTCAGGTCTATCTCCATTTTCTTCTTTGAAGCCACAGCAAGTGCCCGCTGTTTACGCTCATCCTCCAGCTCTGCCTCGAGCTCCCGAACCTAAAAGGACAGCACTGGGTTAGAGCTGGTTAAAGCCGATAGCCTGCCATCACATTGGACTCTGGCTACCTGGGTGAGCAGAGCCTTCTGTTACTCTGCAGAAGTCTTTGTTACCACAGTCCTTATTTATTACTAACAGAAACCCTTGAGGGCTGAATTTAGTTCAAAAGGTCTTTAGACACCACCACCTGCTAGTAACAGGCTATTCCTACTGATGGCTACTGGGGGACACAAGAAAAGACCATAGACTCATAGTCTAGATGACTCCAAGTCAGGAAGACAGTAGGCAGTGAGATAATGATTTAACAAAGGCTGGGATAGTCACAGAGGGTACAGGACAGCAAGTAAGAGGCCAGGAGACAGGCAGGCATGACTGTATCCCGGAGCTGTGGGGAGCTAAGCCTGCTCAGTACTGAGTCATGTGTTTGGCAGATCTGGGAATGAGGGCTCCAAAGGTGGGTATATCCATTTGCTATACCAAGAAAGAGAGAGGAAAGGAGAGTTACCCAAAGAAGGGACAAAATGAAGGACAGCTTTAGAGAATACAGATGGGGGAAGAAGATAAATGACCAGATATGGTTATCTCAGGCTGCTGAGATCGGAGTTGGGTCAGCTCGTGAGACCCTGGTGCCCTGACATGAGCTTTCTGGTCTGTCCTGTTCACCATTCATCTAGGAAATACTGAGGATGGCCACAGTGTCCTAGGTGGTCTCACAGTGGGGAATCAGGAGGAGCGTACTTGCCATGAATGGGGAGGCGACTGGTGTGGAACTGCAATGGAAGCAGTACCATCCCAGGAAGGACCTCACCAAGAAGCCCAGGGTGAGAGGACGGTGAATGGGTCTTCTCCAAAGAAAGAGCAAAGCACCTGCTACTCCCATGCAATACAGAGTACTCAGCATCTGCCTACATGCTGCAGACTGGGTCTAACCTCCAAGCAAGAGGTACAGTAACTGCCCAGATATTTCTAAGTGTATCTGTTAGCTCTTTGGTACTTGCCATTGAAGACTTACAGCCTAACATCCTCCTGCATATGCTGGGAAGGATGAGTATATGGGCTCCTCCAGTCCTGCACAGGCTACTGGACAATGCATCTGCCTGAGCTCCTGACCCATAGAAATCCAGACACCAGAAATGTAGCTTTAAGTCACCAGCACAGCAATAAAGGGCTAATCAAATTAATGTTAATGGAATGAAAATAGTAAAATAAAATAAAAATAAACTTAAACTTGTTACCATGGACTCCAAGGGATACTCAAGATATCCACAATTAGCTTTAAAAGTAAATTTTAAAAGTAGAAGTTTAACAACATACATTAAGGAAAGGATATAACATAAGATTTCTTATAACTTTAAAATAAAAACTATTGGGGCTGGAGAGATGGCTCAGTGGTTAAGAGCACTGGCTGTTCTTGCAGAAGACCCAGGTTCGAGTCCCAGCACCTACACAGCAGCTAACAACCATCTGTAACTCCAGTTCCAAGGAATCCGACACCCTCTTCTGTCTTCTTTGGGTACTGCACAACACAGGTGTACTAACACACATGCAGGCAATACTATTCATACACATAGAATAAAAATAAACCAAAAAAATTTAAAGTAAAAACTATTCCCAGTCGGGCGTGGTAGCATACACCTTTAATCCCAGCACTTAAGAGGCAGAGGCAGGGGGATCTCTGTAGCACATCTCACTCACGTCCCCTCCCACACTCAATCATTTGACTCCATTCTAAATTCCTTGCACCCAACTCTAACAATAACACTATAGTCATTCTTAAATGTTCCCAAGAGAAAATGGA